ATAACTCTATGTCCGTGCCCCAAAGCAGCAAAATGTCGAAAATAATATCCCACACGAATTGCATCGCATGGACTGACAGGGATGTTCCAGGTCCTCAGCCTCGAGCGGTGGAAACGGGGCCGTTTGGAGCGAGGTTGGTATCCACGTTTGGATTGTATTTTACTTTTTTTGGTTAAATCCCGCGCTGGGGGCCAATCCTAGATACCCCTCCAGCTAGAGTGGTAAAACAGTTAGTGGAAAGAGACGAAACACCGGACAGCGGCGGATCGGGGGAAACCATCTCAGATGGTATACTTCGTTGAATACGGTGTGCCTCAGTAGAGGCCACTATTGTCGCACGGAGTATGATCGGACCCAGGAGACACGGTAGGATGGATTGATTGGATTTGGGCTGCACGCTAGCCTTAGGCGCTCATTCGGTGTCCTGGCTAGCCCGAGACACGATGTCCAGGGGGATGAAACGGGGAAATGCGTGGCCCGACATGTCTTTGGGCCAACCTCGAGGGCGGTTACACTAACACTCTTTTGCCTCACGTGGGCCTTTTTCTTTTTTTATTATTGAAATTTTTGGACTATTACTGATTAATACGAATGACTCGTTAGCAACACATCCCTGGCTGCCAAACACGCCAGGCAGCAGATCGCGAGAGCGAGAGACGCGCGCACGGCCACGATTTGCAGCCACGTTTTGTCCCCATCTTGGCGGCAGACTAGAGGGATAAAGATCTGACCTCCGTGCCGACGGCTGTGTGCTGATCTGGCGTGGGAATTCTTAGTTTATTCTGCCTGTCTTGACAAGAGGTGTGATTCCAGGAAACAAAGAATTAATTCAAGGAAACAAAGACAGACCAACGCCAACAACACATCCCAGACCAGGCTATCGCTAAGGATTCCCCAAAAGACAACAGCTCCGGGGGCCTGGGTCCAAGCGGCTTTGGCTCGTTCCGTATATTGCTCTGGTCAAGCCCTAATCCCGTCCGGGAATAGTCTCGCGTTGAGTGTCCTGCTTGGCCCAGGGCGCGTATCTGAATACCGTCCAATGTAACCTTTATTAGCTACCCAGCCGGTATCATCTGGTGACAGTGGAGGATCTGCAAAGCGCGAGCGATCCGGCCACTGATCCGGGGGTCTGCTGGCTCGCAAAGTGCTCACAGAAGGGAAGGTGTGGGCCGGGATTCGGAACAAAGGAAGGCAGCGAGGGGCACAGAGCCTCTCGTACACGCCCGGGATTCAGCGGTGCCGACCAGCGGGCAAAAGAAAAGTAACGAGCCCAAAACCAATCAGCGTGAGAGAATCATGCAGCGTGCGCCAGCTAGTCAACTCCGGCGTTGCCGTAGCCCGGGTTGGTAATCACCGCGCCCCCGCATAGGGCTGAGTGGGTGCTTTGGGGCCGCTGTTCTTATTCCTGTTCGAGTAATCAAAGTGCGAGCACAACAGCTCAGGTACCCGGTACAAGTTGATCTCGCGTCCTCGTCCTCACCGCTCCTGCTGTGCACGCTTTCCAGCCAGAATTGCAAGCATCCCACCTGCATCCCTGTGCGCTCTCCCCTGTGGCAGGGATGGCGGGCCACTAACAGTCCGCGGCGGACCCGGATGCTTGGGTGGGATCGCAGGCTGAATGTTCTGGTAGCCACCCGAAAATAGGTTCCTGGCGGTCACTAATCAAAAATCCACCCCCGTCGATCCCGGATCGCCGTCCACAGCACGGATGCGATGACACGCAGTCTGCATAAATCCTCTTCTTCGGAAAAATAGAGAAAGAGAGAGAGAGATCGAGGTGCACAAATTAAAAGACGGGTCTGCCTGTCGCTGAATGACGAGTACAGGTCAAGTCCGAGCCGAGCTCGGCTGTCGTCAATGATACACGCAAGGCCACCCGTTACACGAACCTTCAAATGGACCGCGTACGAGATGTACCGAGAAAACCACTACGACCAGCCTTCTGGCCTCGTGGATTCTTTACTAGGAATTTATGATCTTGCTGCCTGCATGTGAGACAAGGCGACCAAGGGCAACGGGCGTTCTTCTTATCGCTTTGGCCGTGGAAGAGAAGTAGACTGCCAGTTTCACGAAGCAATTCAAAATGGAATATGGTCTAATGATGCGAACGTGATCTGAGTAATCCACTGGCGACACTCGATCACGGCCATTCCACTTGTGTGGCTTGGACTGCTCCAGTCTAAACTAGAGGTGTTGCCCTTCTGTGTGTCAAGACAGCATGCCATCTAGCCGAGTCTGCTGCACAACGTAGTTGAAAAGAAAATTAAGCATGACCATTGCAGACGTTTTTTCCAGTGTCGCCTGTAGAGAATAATTCGAATCGAATCCACCACGCGATGCAACCATTGCATCCAAAAAGGCTCGCCACGCTCTCTATCCATGCAAAACATGCTGAAACTACTGCGGTGTCCCCGCGCTTGTTCTAAATATTGCTCTAATACACTGCAGCCAAGCTTGTACAGACCGGGCCTGAAACTCATCGCCGGCGATGCCCGTAAGTCGAGTTTACGACTGGCCTTTCCACGTGGACCACGTGCTGCAGCTCGCCTATATTGTCTTAATTTTGATATAGTCCATTTGACTGATTTGGCATCATTCCTGCCAGGAACCCTGCTCAAGCTGCATTGGTCTCTTTCGGGGTCTCCACCTCGTATCTGCTAGTGGGTGTGCCGTTATCAGAGTTTCTCTGATTCAGAGCATAGCCTGAATTAAAGTTTTATAAGCGACTTGCTATAACTAGAGCACGGACTGCAAGGTCTATGGCTGAGTTGAGTTAGAATGACTCTCGCTATATCGGGGTTTGCAACTAAATCAGGCACGGAAGCTTTGGCTTTCCTACAGCCGGAGATACGCGACTCCACACAATCGTTGTGGCCATGAAGGCCCGCAAAAAAACACCAGATACTTGAACGACTGCCATAGTAGTCACATGGCTGATTGGGAGTAGCAGCAGTAAAGGAGGGCCTACAACATTCGGGTTTTTTGGCCAGCTCCCGTATAACTATAAGTAAATATAGAACGTTCAATATGGATTGGGCTCAATCATTGCAGATATTAGTCAAATGCCCCACGTCAAAAGGAACAAGCAAGGTTAGCAGCACGCCAAGTGGAGAAGAGATGAGACTATCAAGGGAGTACATACGTGTATGTGAAATCGGTTGGAGGTATTGATTGGCTTAGTGTAGGCTAAGCGAGTTATATGGTTCTGATAGGATCGTCACCGTGGAGGAAATTGTCAAGAGCATCAGTGTCTAATAGGGCCAGTTGCCATTGCAACTGGGAAAATATAATTATGATGACTTACTTATATAGCGGAAAGATGTTGCGGACTGTTTTGGTAGGATGGCGATGGAGGAAGAGGAAGAAGAGAAGGTGGAAGAGAGAAGGTGGGCGAGCAAAGGGTCTATATAGAGCGATAGAGACGTTTGCTATCAAGATATTTGCCGACAATGTAAGCAATGTATCCAAGCTTACGACACAATCAATATATGTTTGCCCACGGTAGAATATCTCATTCAGACATATCAGCCATTGTTAAAATTCTTATACGGAGTAAGTATAGTACAGAAGTCCCTAACCTCACACTAAACACCCGGCACCTTCTCCCCCGGACTAAGCATCTTAATATAATAATGCTCCCCCATCTCAAGCACATCCACAGAATCTCCAACTCTTACCGTAAACTCTCGTTCCGCAGGAACAAGCTGCATACCCAAACAAGCATACTGCTTCGCCCCCAGATCAATACGCCGATAAGCCTTCAGCGCCCGATCCGGTTCATGCGGATGTCTCACACCAGTATCATAGTCCACATTGGGCAGAAGACAGCGCACCGTTCTGCAGACAGTATGAATCTCTGTTCCGCCGATGGAGATCCGTTTCCAGTGGTCTTCCGCGAAGGCATCGGGGCCTTCGATTATCACGTTTGCGCGGAAGCGGCAGATCGTTAGTCGTGGGATTGCGTATGCGCAGCGCGAAGCTACGTCCCTGTGGCTGCTTAGACTTAATAGGTGGATTGGGTATGCGTCCGCGAAGGAGGTGACGGGCTGGAAGCCGATGTTCTCTTTGCGGGGCGCGTTGCGGAAGATTTCGCGGTGATGTTCTGTGCTGGCGCGGAAAAGGTTGATTTGTTTCTGGGGTTGGCTTTTGGCATCTTTTCCCAGGAACTCATGTAGCGATGTAGGTAGATATTGTCCGTAGTCATAGGATAGAGGCTGGTCCTTCCATATTGTGACGGGGACCAACTTCTCGTCCGCACTTGGGGATAGAGGCATCTGAAAAAAACGTCGACGAGAGACTATCCCAAGCATCATACCCATTTGCACGAACAATCCACGCCGACCAGCGGGACACAGACGTGGGTACGACACGACCATCACGCCCTGAGAAAGAACCTCGGGCAAGGCCGGGTCATAGTCTGAAGCAGATGGATCGGGCACCCAGATTTCAGGATGAATCAGGGCAAGCTTATGGAAACCCGAGTTGCGCAGGGTTCGACAATTCCATCCGTCAGGGCCGTATTCGGCAAAGGTGAACATGCGATCAAACTGCAGCCCCGTTGGGACGACATTAACGACTTGCAGTTCGATTCCACGGCATGATTTTAGCGGATATGTGAAAAGAGCTTTCACGCGACAGGAATTGCCATGGCTATAGACTGGGTTAAATTCATCGTGCAGGTTGCTCTTCTGCCCTGGTGCAAGGCCGAGGCGGCGACATCCCTTGGGGCGAGGTTGTCGGGGGCGCAGAGCACGAATGAGTATCGAAAGAAGGATACAAATAAGAGAAATGAGTATTCCCAGCAATGACGCGTGCTCTGAAATAATAATGGACATTGGCAGACGGACATGTCGGAGAAGGAAAGAAGAAGAAAGCGAAATCGGGGAAGGTTAATCAAACTTCTTCATCCGACCCACACTCCTTTAACAACACACTCAACAATACCAGCAGGCGGAGAGTGCTATGCCCAGCGCGTCTTGTGCCAATACATTCAAGGAGCGATGAACTTTCTCGGTCTAGACAGCCAGAACACGCGTAAAGAACCCCCTTCCCCCCAGAAATAATGACAGTCGTGCTAACACCCCACGCCAGCACCCGTGGTCTCGATCTCAGCGTCGCAGTCGCTGAATGCATCAGCCACAACCCAAGCCGCGATCTCAACAGGTCTAACACGGCTGGACGAGGCGTTGAATGACGCGACAGACGAGAAACGACCCGGCGGTATCCTGCGCGGCCAAATCACCGAGGTGTTTGGACCACCTGGTGTGGGGAAGACCTCCCTGGCGTGAGTGTTGTAGGTCGCCATCAGAATGGGGAGTCTAACTAACTACCTAAACCAACAGTCTAAATACGGCATTCAGTGCCCTCCGCAATGGTGGTAAGGTGGTGTGGATTGGTATTATTATTATTATCAATTATGGTTTACAACCAAGCTAACCACAACTCCTAGATACGGGCTCTCCCCTACCCAACCCCAGACTAAAGGGACACTCTCTCGACAATAACAACTTCATCTATTTCCGCGCCACGACACTCCCCCATCTCCTAGCTCTGCTCCTCCGTCCACCAAGGAGCTTTCCACCGGACGGAACAGCCCTACTAGTCATCGACTCCGTATCGAGCCTGTTCTCGACATACTTCCCCAACGCAGCGGAGCTGAAGGAGAGACTGACGCAGGGGAAAATCACTGACAAGGCGCAGCTACAGTGGCTGCTGAATCGGAAGTGGAATGTGGCGTCTGATCTGGCGACGCATCTGGCGCGAATCGCGTCGAGGAATATCGCCGTGCTAGCTATTAACCAGACGCACACGAAAATCAAGGGCCAGCCACGTGCGACGCTGCATCCCGTTTTGGCGGGTGGTGCGTGGGAGAGTAATGTGCAGGCACGGATCATGATGTATCGCGATTTGCCGAATTGTAGGCTGGCGGAGATGACCAAGCGGGCCGGGAGGACTTTGTTGATGCGGTCTGCGGAGTGGATTGTTCCGTTTCGGATAGAAGCGGTATGTTATTGTTCCTCTCTGGCTGGTCACTGCTTGTTTCTGACACACGAATAGGACGGTCTCCGCGAAGTTGAGGAGGAGTCGGAGCCTGATTTAGACGCAGTGGAAGAAATATCGCATCCTGCCGAACCAGTTGACGTCCCCACTGCAGCAAGTCGAAAACGCAAGGTCAACGAGGTGGCCGACAGCCAGGACGAAGACGACGATGACGACTCAGAGGGAGGGTACGAATGGATGGACGAGGCCCTGCTCGGCGAGAACGCCTGAATCTCAATCGCTCGGCGTGACCCACGTCGCCGTCCTCTCCACAATACGCGCCTCCTCACCCGGGGGGATAGGAAAACCCTTTGTGGTCTCCGTGATCTCTGCGTCCGGCGTATCTGGCGTCTTCTGAAACGGACACAAGGGCAACGTATCGGCAATGGCAATCGACACGGGATGTCGCGAGCCCTGATTGACTTCGACCAGCCGACCCAGCACGGCGAACTCGAGCTTGAGTTTGAGCGAATATATAAAGCCCTTGAGTGTGATTTGGACGGCATAGAAATTGGCGTACTCAAGGCCCAGCAGCACCAGATCCATGGTGATGATGAGGACATTGATCCCGCATAGCTGGTACATGATAGTGCGCGCATCGCGACGTGTGTCTGCGCCCAGACGGAGCAATTTCACCGTCTCGATGACATACAGCGTCGACAGAAGCGTCTCCTGCAGCGTGAAACCCGTTAACTGGATCTTCTCCATGATATTGTATCCCTCGATCCAGATCCGATTCTGCACGACATTGGCCCCGTAGGTCATGATGGTGGTCGGAATGGACAGCAAGAAGAAATTCGCAATGATAAGATGGAGCACCCGTCGCAGAGTCCGTTCATCACGGAGCACCAGATGCAGTCGCGAATACAGCACCACCGACTGCCCGGTGACCATCGTCCACCAACCGATCGTGAGCACCGTGACAGAAATCACGGAGTCGATATGTGTGAAGAATTTCAGCAAGAACCCGATCGAGTACGGCACCACGCCTATACAGCCTGAGACCAGGAGTGACCAGAAGTACAGCCCGCGCCAGCGTCGGAAGGTCGAGGGGACCATGACTAGCAGCTCGGCGACGTTGTAGCATGACAGACCGATGAACACGACGAGGGTGATTTGCAGTTCGACGGCTTCTTTGGCTAGTTCGCCGGAGATGCCGTTGAGGAGGTCATCCGGGGGGTTGTTGGAGGACATGGTGATTATTCGTGATGGGATGTCCGGGCTGGCTGGAGGACCAGAGAGGCTGTCTGGATTTACCCTGATTGATACTCCCACATGATGATTCTGGTCTGGTTGTTTCAAAAGGAAGCAAAGGAAGAGAAAACCAAGTCGTCAACCCCTGGCAGAACTATAAAAACGCACAGATCTAACTAGTGAAGAGGGGAAACACGAAACTCAAATAAGAACCAGGGGTTGGATCCTGGGGAAGCTCTGGGCGAGTCTCGACCCAATCAGCATTCCTCGTATTCCGGGATTTCGATAGCGTCCGTGACACCAGTGGTCCGTTCACTGGCAGAGGAACTCCGAGTTTGCTAGCTACTGACTACAGACAATGCGGTTGTCCTTGCGATGTGAAACACCAGACAAAAAGAAAATAAGATTCAAGCACGACTCTAACGATTACTCATAGGTTGGTCAGGTAGTCCTCGATCTGCTCCTTGGTCAACTTCCTGAACCGCGGGCCCTGCGCGCCCTCCACGCCCTTGAAGCCCAGTAGGTGGTCCGCCGGCGGGCCAACGATGCCTATAAGATAATAGTCAACCACTGAGTCAAAGTGGGTGGGCGGAAAGAAAAAGGAGGAGAAGCAAACTCACCAATCTCTATTGTATCCCCATTCATCTCGCCCTCGATGGTCTCCTTGAGCGTCAATAGCGCAATATGGATCGCATCCTCAAGCTCTAGCCCCTCCGTATACCGCTTCTCAAGGAACGTCTTGGCCGAAGTCGCATGCTTGCCAATCGCCGTCGCCTTCCAGGGATAGTAGCTACCCGAGGGATCAACCTGGTAAAGACTAGGCCCACCCTTGAGAATGCCGCCCGTTTTACCGCCGCCGGTCTGCACGCCCTCGGCCGTCTCGGGCTCGACGCCCTCATCCCAGCCCGCCACCAGCAGACTGACACCGTACGGCCGCACGCCACCAGACTGCGTCGCCTCCTGCACCACGCGCGCCACGTCCTGTACTAGTATCCGCGTCGGCGGGTACTCGTTATAGATCCGCTTGTAGCCCGTGTGCGAGACCTTGCGCGCCTTGTCGACCAGCACCCGGTAGTCGGGACCCATGCCTGCGTAGACCATCCCGATGTCGGGGGTGATGAGGGAGATCTTGGAGAGGGAGGGGGGTCGATGAGCGGCGAGGAGGATTTCTTTTCGGTCGCGAGGACGATTCCGTTCGTTGCTGTGAGGAAGATTGGGGTTAATAGCCGGTCGTTGCTGGGACGTGTGTGTCTCGGTGTTTACCTTTGATGCCGAGGGCGGTCACGCCCTGGTTGACTGCATTCAAGGCATATTCTGGATTGGATTGCATCAGTAATGGCTTCATCAGAGCATTGGGAGGTGTCGGATTATTTACCGATCTGGACCAGCTTTCCGCTGTGCAGCGAGTTAGCACCATGTCATTGAATTGACAACAACCACATACCTGGGGGAGAAAGTGGTGAGGGAGAAGGAGTAGCGGTCGGCCATCACTCTGGGTCGATTGATGGATGTGGGAGGAAGATGAGGATGGGAGCAGCAGAGCAGAGCAGGGAGCTTGGCTAGGCAGGTACGACTGACGTGAGCTGGTCGAGCTGGCCGAGGCGGTGAGTGGTGCTGAGTCAGCGTTGGGGGTTCCTCTGTTTTTTGTGCTCGTGTCCAATTCTCTTTTCTTCTTCCACCACTGTCGGGTCAAAAAAAGATGACCATCCAGTAATTTAATTAATTTCGCCATGGAGGCTCCGTACTCTGAGCCTGACCCAGCTCCAGACACAGACCCTGACACAGGCCCTGCTCCCAGCCCTGATCCCGGGCACTATCCTCCGCGGATTTGTCGCATCTGCCTGGAAACAGTGCTGCCGACATTCGAGCCCTCCGACCTGCCGGGCTTCCTAGCAAAACCTCAAGTCGTCTACGAGTCCTCCGATCCGACCCTGGGCCGTCTGCTCCGCCCCTGCAAATGCCGCGGCTCATCGCGCTATGTTCATGAGGCCTGCCTGCAGTCCTGGCGCCACGCCGACCCGGGGTACGGCAAACGGAACTACTGGCAATGCCCAACATGCGGCTTCCAGTACCGGCTCGGGCGGCTGACGTGGGCGCGCTGGATTAGTAGTGCCTTCACGCAGCTGCTTCTAACGCTGGCCATTCTGCTTCTTGCTGTCTTCCTGCTTGGTTTCGTTGCTGACCCCATCATTGATATCTACCTGGACCGCTGGGACCTCGACTACACCGACCTGGTGGTCGAACCCAGCAGCACTCTGGACCTGGACGATTCGTCGTGGTTCCAGCACTTCGTCAAGGGACTCGCGTCGCTGGGCGTGCTGTCGATTCTGAAGGTCGCTTGGGCCGCGTCGCCGTGGTACTGGAATGTGCGGGCCACGGCGGGCGTGATGACCTCCACCAACCGATCTACAGGTCGCAGTCGCTTTGCTTCGCTAGGCTGGCTGATGATTGTCATTGGCGTCGGCACCTTTCTCTGGGTATGTTTTGTATCTTTGTTGTCCTTTCTTGACTAACACCTCCCGACCCCCAGGCCGTGTATAAAGGCGTCCGGTCGTGGAGTAAACGAACCCTAGAAAAAGCCGGGGAGAAAGTGATGGATGTCCCCTTGCCCGACGAAGATGATGTCCAAAAGGAGGACTGACCCCCTCGTACTACTTAAGTTGGCTCACTCCATGCTCAATGAGGTTCCAATTAGTCGATGTACGAAGAACGACCCCCCGCCTTCATTTACCCTTGTTGCGTCTGTCCGAGAAGTTGGCCGTTCGTGACGGTTGGGACGTTTTGTCCCATTTGTTGCTGGCCGCTTCGTTATTCGGATATCGCCAAGGGGAAGGCAGGCCACGCCTCGACCAGTGGAGCGTTTTATGATCTGGACGTTTATGGATTGAGGGAGTGGAACATATTCTTGTCAGTTGAATATGATTGATATCTTTTCTATTTTCCCGTAAATTCTTCTCTGTGCATTTGTTACAAAGAGATATCAGTGCCTTCCTCTTTCGGCCTGCTTTCTCTTCTTCTTCGCCTCTCTTTTCCCTTTTTCCCTTCTCTTTCTCTGATCTCCCTTTCTCTCAACTCTCTCTCGCTCCATGGATCTGAAAGAAGAATTCCATCTCGCTGCCATGGAGATCGTCAACTCTCCCGATATCCTGCCCGAGCCCGCTGGCCCTGATGCGGCGTCGGGCTCCCTGCTGGCCGCCGTGCGCACCCACCTTGTAATGGACTCCTCCGACTCCGACCAGTCCCTAACCTCGTCGCCTGCTGTTCCTGACCCCAAGCCAGCCATCCCTGCGACCAAGCAGGTCCCCGAGACCGAGCCCTTCCCGGCATACTACGAATGCGAGTCGCCCGACTCGATCGCCGACCCTCAGCATGAAGACGCCTACAACTTCGCCATCTCCAAGGTCGTGCAGGAGGTGATCAAGTTCCAGGAAGTGGACGCGCAGCTGGTCTCGCTGCCGCCCTTCGTCGTCGGCGCTGCCAGTGCCCACCTGGCCCTGGGTTCCGTCGAGGGCGTCGACTGCTTGACCGTCGACCAGAAACACCGCACTCTCAACCAGATGAAGCAGCTGCTTTCTATGCCCCATCTGCGCCCCGAGACCCGCCGTCGTTTTGTCGCTCTTACCAACATTGTGCTCCGTCTCAACTATGTTCTGTTCCACCGCGTCGATGGCAATGTCTGCAAGATCTTCCTGGGTGCTCAGGATACCACTGATGCCCAGAGACTCGCCAATACTGTTCTGGTCTACCTTGCCTGGCTGGACGACATGATGCAGGAAAGTGTGCAGGTCGCGACCAATGTTTCTTACATCTTGGGTCACATCGCCGCGGAGGATGATGATGAGACGGTGTACGTCCGCTACCGCCGGATGGCCGCTGTGGTTATCGCGTAAGACTTTTTACATACTTCTTGTATATACATATGCCGGTCTTAACCATCTCCATTATCCAGACACTTGAAGAAGCCTCGCCTGCTCGAACGTCACCTGCTTTCTCTCTACCTTGAATTCTACGAGGCCTGGGTGCACACCACGTTCCTCCGCCTGCGCAACCGCCAGATCCTGCGCGAGGACATCCCCAACACTGATCGCATGGATCTTTCTCGGCACCTGCTTGCCATCTGGGACGTGATGACACGCTGCATTGACAACTACTCCATCTATACCTTCACCACCTGCGACATTCGTGATCGCTACCTGGAACCGACGATGAAGGACCTGCTTTGCGCTCCGGAGATCTGGCCGCAGTGCTGGGAGCTGACTCTAGAGGGTCGCGATGAGGAGAAGGAGAAGGAGAAGAAGGCGAAGGAGGAGGCTAGGAAGGAGTTGCAGAAGGTGATTCAGAAGGAGGCTCTGAGTATTGCTGAAGCTCTGGCTCTGGAGGAGCAGGAGGAGGCTCAGAAGAAGGCCCAGGCTATGGAGGCTCAGGCTCAGGCTCTGAAGGGATGTGAATTTTAGGATGGATATGTGTACGATGATATTCTTGATACTGGTTCTGACACTGATACCCATAACGAGACCGGCGATGTCTCTAGCAGAATTCGCAATGAAAGCAATCCCCTTGAAGCAAGATGATACAAGTAAAAACAACAATCACGCCTCACTATCCTTATAAGCCCCCAACTTGAACAACTTCTTCGCATTCTCCCTCCCAATCTTCACCCGATCGATCTCATTCAACTCCGCCCCATCAAACCAATCACACCCATCCTCAAACGTCTCAAACGGATAATCAATCGAAAACAGGATCCGATCGGCCCCAACCTCCGCCATACAAAAGTTCAGCGTGGTCGTCGAGAAATGCCCAGAGGTGGTGATCCACAGATTCTGCGCAAAGTACTCGCGGATGGTCTTCTTGCACGTCTCCTGCAATCCCAGCATCTTCTTCCGATCCTCGAACCAGTGGTTTATCCGCCACATGTCGAAGGGGATATGTTCGCCCAAATGGCCCAGGATGATCTGCAGTTTCGGGTGTCGGTCGAAGACTCCGTTGGTCACCATCCCCAATGCGTGCAGGCTGACACCCTGCGCGAAGGAGAGAGGCGGGCCGACCAGCCATTTCCGGTCTGCCCAGAGCTTCTCGTAGATTGTTCCTGTGGGGTTGCGCGGGTGTAGGTAGAGGGGCACGTCGAGCTCGGTGCAGGTCGCCCAGAAGACGTCCCACTTTGCGTTGTCGTAGAAGATCATGTCGTCGCCGTCGTGTCCTGCGCGCTGCGTGTCGTTGACTAGGGCGCCGAGGAAGCCGTACTGCGTTACGCAGCGGCGAAGCTCGGCGGCTGCTTCTTGGGGGTCGTGCATGGAGAGGGTTCTGTCGTTCATTAGACACAGATCCTTTCTTCGTCTATATATACAAGGGGAAAGGAAGCATACGCGAAAGCCCTCATTCGATCCTCCTTCCCCCGGATCTTCTCTGCGATATAATCATTGATCTCCACGGCGAGCGCCTGCGCCTCCTTGGGGTCCCAGATATCCTGCACGCCGGGTGCAGTGTAGCTAACGATCTGCATGCCGACGCCGTGCTTGTCAGCAAAGGCATTGCGGATCTCGTCGACGTCTGTGATCTCCGCGACGTGCTTGTCGACGTCTGTGGCGAAGAGGCCCGCCCACCAGCGTGTGCGCTCTTGGAAGCGCGGGAGCGCGAAGGCTTCTTCGAGGGCGATTTTGCCGAGCATTTTGGTTTGTTCTTGGTGGGGGGGAGGAGGGAGGCAAGAGAAGGTCCAATAGAGGAAAGAAGGAGGGAAGAGTTAACCAGACAGGAATGCTACTTTATATATCACTGCATCCTAAGCTACACCCCGCAGTCTGTCGGATGTGATCCTCTACTATCGACCAGTGCTTACAGTGTTAACTACATTCCATCGGAAGAGAGCGCGTCGGCTCACGCACCGAACGCATCCGACGGCGTCGCCTGGGCGGGGCGGTGGCGGGTCGGGTTAAACGCGGGGCGTGGAATGTGAACGTGGGGTATATTATTATGATGGGATTCCGCTTGATCCGATGATTACTTATTATTTATTGTACATTGTGCATGGCTACTGAGAAGAAGATATCCACCACGGAGCACCACTGTTCGAGCTGCCCGCCGGCGTGGAAGACAAATGCACATGCGAAATAGACACCAGCATATTCAGCACCGCAAACTCCAGCTTCAGCTTGATGCTATACACCAGCGCTTTGACGATAATCTGCATAAGATAGAATTCCAGATACTCCAGGGTCATCAGGACGACGTCCATACCGATGGCGATGAAATTCACCAGGACTAGGAGATACAGCGTCATACTGCGGCGTTGGTTCTTTCCCGGCGCGGCGCGGATCATCTTGATCGTTTCCAGGATATAGATCGTCGAAATGAGAATCTCCTGCGCTGAGAACCAGGTTAGCTGGATGCGCTCCATGGCATCAAACCCATGCGCCCAGCCGGACACGGTTGGGTGGTACGACCAGCCGAAGTTAAGGACCGTGATGGGGATGATGAGGATGATGGTATTGATCGTGATCAACCAGCGCAGAAAGCGAAGAAGCCGCTGGTTCTGCGATACCAAATGCAGACGCGAATACAGCACTACCGACTGGCCGGGGACCATGAAGTAGAACCCGATATTCTCCAGGACGAGGGTGAGCCACAGCGTAGCGAGATTGAAGAATTGGAGCAATGAACCGATGGAGGCCGGGATCACGCCTAAGAGGGAGGAGAGGAGGAGAGCCCAGAAGTACAGGCTGCGATAGCGTTTGAAGGTGAGTATGATCAGGACGAGGAGCTCGGCGGCGTTGTAGAGTGCGATGCTGATGAAGACGATGACACAAATGGCGCGCACTCCGCCGATGCTGGCGAAGGTGTCGGCCATCTTGCTGGTCCTCCTGGCGCGATGTAGCGCTGAAGAAAGCACATCCTGGCTGGTAGCTGGGGTCGGGTGTTGAGGGTCGACATTGGATGAGGAGCTTAGAGTTAATAGATTGGGTGGAAGCTTTGCTCGCCACCAGGTCACCCACGTCATACTGTTATTTAGCCTTCACAAACAACCGACCTTGTAATACTGGTGATGGTAAACCTGCGAGGCCGTGAATAAAAATAAAAGGATCTAGAGGATATTCATCCAAAGACTCTTTATTTATTCAATTAGACACGACGCTTGTAATACTACTTGCGAGGCCCTGCACAGCCAGGTCCCGCAGGTCTCCTCAGTGATGGCGTTGTGCTTCATATTATTGCATATTATTGTAGTTCAGTACATTGCAGCGAAATCAAAACATTCACATATTAAACTCTCACCCACCGGGTCAACCAGTCATGGATATAGCGTTCCAGCACTCCATCCTCAATAATGTGCAACGGACCAGAGCGCAAGGTGACACTGTCCCTCTCCGCCTTGTCCGTGATAAACGTCTTCTGCCCTTGACTCCCCAGAGTCTTTTCGCCATACATCGACTGATAGTGATCAATCAACTTGATAGCAGGATTGGACTGTTCCTCGCCCCGAGCCTCGCTGTCCCGCAGCTTCTTAAGCCAGTCTTCAAACGACAAAGTTTCAAAATCGAACCCACCCCGCTCAAGAGACTCGAGCAATGATTGCCAGGTGAATGTGCGGAAGTTGCAAAGATTGTAGACGGTATCATCGGTAGGTGAGCCCGAGCCGGGATTGAGAAGATTCTCATTGGGCTGGGAACAAGCCTTGGAAAGCTCGAGGATGGTCATTGCCAATAGGTCAACTGGGAACCAGGAGCAAGTTTGGTCAAGCTTCGGTAGAGCCTTCAATGTTAGAGCAGAGCGGATCATGAGCGGAACTGCCTCCGAGTCGTTCCACAGGCCTTTCTTCGAGTGTCCGGAGACCTGGCCGATTCGGAGAGAATATGCTCGTGCGCTCGATCCACGCGCCGCCGAGACTATGCGCTCTCCAACTAACTTGGAAAGCCCATATCCCATCGTCAGAGCGCAGTGGAAGCCCTCTAATGGCTCATCCGGGATGAGATCGGATGGCGATCTTAATGCAGTCGAGATCGAGGAGCAGAACATCAACACGGCTGGCTCGAGTTGTCGGACATTGAGAGAAAGCTCAATCAAGTTGAAAAGACCCCGAATATGAGGGGTAAGGGTCGTGTTGCTTAGTCTTAGGATCGCGGTACTACTTAGCTATACCGAAGTCAACGATGTGTATTACATTAGCGGCCTTAGCAGATAGCCGGCCTATAAGGAAGTTGTCTGGTTTGATATCGCGGTAGATGAGGTTCTTCTCATGAATCGTTTGAACCCGCGAGAGCATCTACTTTGCCACCATCACGGCAGTCTTGGTAGAGGAACGGCGGTTGCAGTGGTCGAACAGATTCTCTAGACTATGACCAAGCAGGTCAATGACGAGTATGTTATGCAAACCCTCCTAACCAAAGTGGTAGACCTTGGGGATGCCTAGGCATCCCGCCAAGGTCTTGTATGTCCGGTACTCATCACGGTCCTAAGGCCCCTCGCTTATCCGGGGCTCGAGTTTGATGGCCACCTATTTGTTGTTGAGGAGGTTGGCGCCCTCGAAGATGACACCGAAGGAACCCTCACCGATTTTCTTGCCCACCCGGTAGTGGATGCCCACTACATTTGACGAGGATACCATGGGTGCGATTCTTGGGGCGAGATCGGAGGAAGACGGCTTTCGACCACGAGGAAATAATGGCCTTAGGGAAACTGTACACTTGATGAAAACTATTCACAGAACCACGATCATAGGAGGGGAAATCACATGGGGCCAATCAATTTATATGTCACGGGGTTGTATTTTCGAAAGCCCACGGGCTATACTAAGAACCTGCGGGCCCAAAGCCAGAGCCATTGTCCGACCCGCGGGCTTTGGCGGGGTCTATAGATCTTAAAGTTAGTACTAGGCGTATCCACATGTAAATCTACTAGGTAGTCTGTTGTGACAATAATGAAATCGATGGTATTTGGACTATCTATTCTGTCTGTACTTATAGGCAGAGAAGCGAGAAAACTCTGCATTGTGGGAATTGCATCGGAGCATAGATCTTAATAGGACATCAGGTGATCGAGATGTGCCAGCTAGTGTATTACTAGTGGGGAATTTACCCTGGTGATAGAGCATACTTCCTGAACTCAGCCCCGTTCAATACGAAGATACGATGTGGTTTGATAGTCATCGGATCTATTATAAGTACATGAAATAGAGTGCATAATATGGATCGACGTTTACCAATATTCAAAGGTGTGTTCATATACACTATCCGTGAAGCCGGCTTCCATGACTAGGAGCCTAGGACAGTGGTTGATCTTTTTGTGTTTCTGTAACCGCAACTTTGGCTAGTTCACTCAATTCTGTGACAAGACTCTCGAGACGACAAATATGAACAGACTTGGGAAGCTGAAATTGGGCAGTAGATAGCCCTGTGATTAAAGTAGAAGTATAATCGAGTAGTTCCAGATCCTGAGCGGCGTGGAGGCTCGTTGGATCAAGAACGATGTTACAGAAGATCGTCAAACAAGCTGACAAAGGATAAAAAACAATGGGCCTGAGACAATAGTAAGCATTGCTAATCGACCGCAGTGAAGTCCAAGAAAGGTCCTTAGAGCCCTTGTAACACTTACCAGAAAGTTCCGCGGGGCAATACCGAAAAATGATTTTTCAACGACAGAAGAGACGATCTACTAGATTCCACCGCAAGGGTAAAGGATGAACCGACACTCACGATACTGCTCTGGTTACTTGCCCATGCCACACATCGGCCACAAGCTTGATGAATGATGGCAACGCAATTATAATAGTCCATCTGTAGTAGCACAGCATGCATGCCAAAAAAGTGGTTGCCAGTTGTTATTTTCTGAGAAGTTGAAAGCTTGGGTCGGTAGTTTGACGGTATCGATAATCTCCATTCTTCTAGGTCATTGTCGAGTCCACGGATGGTCTTGAAAAGGTCTATATCAGACATGCACAGACACCCTGGACCGTAAAATGCACTGTAGGCACGAGACTTGATCTTAATTAATCGAAGATCAACCGGATACAGGTAGTCTTTAGATCCCGCGAGCCCATGTTCGCCAGATGATAGCAGTATGGAGAGCTGATCTCCGTACCCTTGCGGGACTGTGAGGTCACAGACTTCATCCTGGATAGCAGCGGGTTGACCTGTGCGAATGGACAACTCTTTGTCGAGGGAATAAGCAATCCAGAATAGATTCCGAAGATGACTGCCCATTTGGGGCAAACAGCCATTGTCGAGTGATGTAGCTCCACCAGGCGTTGGAGGACTCATTACATGCGCACCAAACCTGAAGATTAATCGGGCAGTGAGCGAATCCAGATACAGCCCTTTCCGAAAGTTTCCGGATGAGCAATGAAAAATCATCTAGTTCGTTGAGACAACGTCAATGTTGATTCGTAATATCTGAAAGAGATAACCTCCACTGGGGACAGGAAATTCATGATGTCAGCTTTGGAGTTTCACATACCAACATCAGAATAGCTTGAAGCCCGTCCAAGGTTTCTTCCTGCAGAATCTGCGGTATATACTTTTCCGCTTTCGACACTAGTGCTAGGCTGTCGATTGGCACCGGGTTCTTCTCATGGAGACCCCAGAAGGCAGATAATGATAGGAAAGCACATAAACATGCTCTAGAACTCGCGCGTCCTGAAGAAAGGTTGGAGGAATTCTGCAAGCCAAGATGTAAAGTATTGGAGAAAAGACTGTGATCGATGACTGGAAATGACAAGCGTATAGGGGACTCATAGTACGCCGCCACATACTCATTGATGATGCTGACGTCGGGCAGTTCCGGCATACGTTTCACGGGAACCTCTCGGTCGACATACTCTGGCTCATGGCAATGCCATGGAGGACTGGGTTGGAAGAGGTCCTGCAGATTAATGGAACGACCAAGAGACGACCGCACTATTCTCCGGACATCTGATAAAGCCGACCGTGAAGAAAGGCATTCAGGTTGCAGTCCCGCAAGCGAAAAGAAACCTTGCCTGCCATATAAGAGGACCTCATGGGCTCTGGCTTGGTCCTTGCTTGAATTGTTCGATGCTGTTATATTGATAAATATGTCAAAACAGTAATTTCGAAAGGCTAGTACCCACGTGAGCCGCCAGAAACGAGTCTCTTGGCCAGGATAGCTTCAATCCCAGTAATTCGCTCTTCCAATCGAAATATCCTTTGCTAAAACGAACTGAGTTGGTAATGTTCCGCTGGTGAACTGAACTGGCAAACCTGGTTCGTATCGGCAATTCCATTGCGCTTCATCTTCGGTATTCTAGTGAAACTGCATGGAATGCCATGATGTTTACACCAGTCACACGTTGGATATGCAGTGTCACATTTAATCTAATGAATATATGAGCTCATGTTAGCGAACTAGAGTAATATATTTAAAGCATGGAGAGCTTCCATGCGCACCTTCCTTTTAGAACAAGCGTCACACGCCTTGGTAAATCTCATCTGTCCCAGATCAGGTCGTGAACCCTAGTTTTGCGCTAGCCGCGGCTTTCTTGTTGCACTAGGCGGCACTTGCTGTGGTCAAATCGTGGTGCTAATTTACTTTGAATCTGATTTTGAATCTGATCCGCGCAGGGCAACTCGCAGATATGTTCGTTCCGATTGGCACCATAACATTGGGAAGTCGGACATTAAATGCTCCGACACTCGGGGAGTCGGACAGTTTTAATCGGAAGCCGCCCGGCGACCTTCCTCAAATCTTGTCGAGACGTGGAACCAGATTTAAGTACAGTAATGGTCAAGCTAGGGTGCCTGCTGGTGCACTTGCCCGGTCCCTTTCCGCGGAACTCCTTTTCGTAAACTCACCCACTCTCCCAACCTCCCTTTTCTCCTCCGGGAGGCGGATGGGCGAGTTAGAATAAGTGCCATGGACGGATACTCCGTTCGCGAATTCACGCCCGTTCCGCTGACTAAGCGCATAGACGGTGGATCTGAGATTCCTCCGGCCGGCTGGGTTACGTTGGCCCAAATTTGGCCTACTGTCAACCCGAAGCCGGGGTTCTATCTACCAGATAGTTGCACTGTTTCCCAAAATAGAGGCAACAGCTCGCTCGTAGCATTGATTCATGCTGTGAAGATATCAGCCACACTGACTAAGCGGAATAAACGGACTCCGCGTATAGATGGGATGAAATCGTTGCCGAAAGACGCCATTTCACTGGCAGTGGGAGCAAGTCATAGAATCACTGCAATGCCCAACCGGGAGCACATATATATATCGAGGTCAACGCGGTCGATTACAACCAAAATCAAGTCCCCAATCGTCATCCATAATTCCCACCGCACCAAAAAAAAAAGCCTGGAATAGAGATCGAGCACAGAACCCCCGCTTTAACAATGACCCATCCGACTCCTATCAAGGGAGCAGAGAATCTGTCGTCACGATGGACCTTTACTCAGGATTTGGGTGGTTATGACATACCAATTCGCCTAGAAGGAGAGATTGGCGATGTTATCGTGCGAGGCACGATTCCTGACTGTGTTGACGGGACTTTTTACCGCGTTGGTTCTGATCACTTTACCCCCACACTGGACGGGCATAGTCCACTCGATGGTCATGGGGTTGTGAGTGCTTTCAGAATCCACAACGGTCGCGTCGACTTTAAGATCAGATACGTGCAGACCGACCGCTATAAGATTGAGAGGCAGCAGAGGCAAAGTTTCTGGGCCCATATACTAAACAATCCGTTGGGCAATCATCCTTGTGTACGCGCCGTCCTCGAGCAGTCAGCCAACACCAATGTGCTCTATTGGGCGGGTAGATTGCTTGCTCTCGGGGAGTCTGGCCCCGCTTACGCCTTGGACCCCGACACGCTCGAGACGAATGGTGTGGACCCTTTCGGCAATCAGATCATCACACCTGCTTTCACAGCACATCCTAAGATTGATCCTATCGTCGAGGAGCTTGTCACATGGGGTATTTGGAGAGGGTCTGACATCGTGTCCTATTCAGTTGATCGACAAGGGATCGTGAAGAATGAACACCACATTAAACCCCCTTGACCGACGTCGAGCCATGACATCGCCATGACCGAGAATTGGATTGTCTTTTGTATATGGCCCATCCAAGTCAACTTTGAAGGCAAGCCTGGTGACCCCTCCGTGGCATGGAACGTGGATTTACCGGCCACCTTTATTGTTGCTCCTCGCCATCCGGACCAGCCCCTAGCTGGCTCAGGCTGGAAACCATACGAGTCGCGTGTCTACCACCACCCAGTGAATTCTGCAATCATCCACACCGCCGGTGCGTGGGAGGAGAATAACAATATATTCGTCGAAGGCACCTATCCGCACGATAGCCTCTTCCCATTCTGGGGCCGGGCGGGTGAACGGAAGCCCCTAGAGAAGACCGTCGTTGAATTAGTGCGCTTCGAGATAAACATAACTTTGCCAACGGACACACAGATTCCAGATCCTACAGTCCTGGTCGAAATCCCTAATGAATTCCCCCGTATCGATGAACGATTCTTCTGCAAAAATTATGACTATATCTTCATGAACGTCTACCAACCAGAGTCCGACGGTGCCGAACTCACGAATCAGGTCTTCTCCAACCTCAACGCCACCGCGATGCTAAACAAACGCACGGGGGAATTAAAGATCTACTCACCAGGGCCGAAGTGTCGGTGCCAGGAACCGGTATTTATCCCGCGTTCCGACGACGCTCCCGAGGGTGATGGGTACGTCATTTTTGCCGTTGACCGCATGAATATCAACCTCTCTAACGTGGTCATCCTGGACTCTCGGGACTTTGAGCACCCCGTTGCCGTCATTGAATTACCCTTGCGTATGCGCACCCAGATTCATGGTAGCTGGGTCGATGCCAGAGAGCTTAATGGTCGGCCTCTCGTGGCTGACCCTCCACTGCATAACATGGTTTGGAGTCATGGGCTTTCCCCTCCTGCTCCGGGAATGGATCCTGTCTCGCGGAAGGCCTAATACGACCCCCTGTGTTTCACGCAGGTTTACTGTATGTTGTTGAAAGCGTCGTATTTCTCATTGGGGTCAGGGGAGAGGTTGCTAGAGTCGCAGAGTTGCTTATTCTTTTGTTAAGTCTCGCTGGAGTCTCCTGTTTAGCTTGCTTTAACGTCGTTGTGCCAATGCCAATCAGAGTTAAGCCCTTATCATGCGTTATTGGGACTAAACTTTGGAACAACACATGGGCAGGTCAGGGCCATAAGCCGCCCAACAGCGCACGATGGGCTGCCCATAGGCCCGCCCCAGCGAAGTATCTATATCAAGCGAGAGATATCCCGAGACTAGCTTTCGAACGGAGAAAACATCTCATTTCTTGGCCAAAACGTTTTCTTGTAATAAGTCGCCACCGGGCCTACAGCCTCAAGAATTTGATCAACTTTAAGTGACGGCGAGAGCTTTCATTTGATATTAATTTCATAAGGTAGAATGGGTGCAATCGTTGCTACGGGTGCAAATGCACTGAAGCTGCCTCCCGAAAGGGGGTCAGGTGGGAGAAATTAGCGGCTACTACAGCCCGGAGAATGGCATGTGTGGGAGATAGCTCGCGTCGATTCGGCGCGTGGTGATGACAGTCCAGCGAGCTCAGTGATGCGAGGCCTCGGTGGTTCGAGGAAGCTGGTGGAAGCAGGAGGTGGTTGAGGAGACCGATTGAAGTGGGCAGTTAGGACGTTGTGGGCAGTTGACCGTGGGCACTTCTGACGATCAAACCTCTCCTTTCGTTTGTCCTATATAATTTTTGTTCTACAGATCACGTGCTCCGGTTTACTGAGCATGTCGACTGCTGAGATGGCTTTGGAAGCCATTCTCCTGACTCTAAAGCAGGCCTGACAGCACTCCCGCATAGCGGCTGTATCTAAAGCAAGCTACATCGGGCAAATGAATAATTGATCGATTTGATTGATTGGTTGAACCGCCCAGAAGAAAATAAAAGCCGGTTAATACAGGCGAGAGATACGAAATGCGGATTCGAGACCAAGACTCTGCCCCCTACCGTAAATTAAAGTGCTTATCTCCTATGCAAATAGATCGGAAAAGCCAGGCCCCGGTCAGAAACTGTCGGTTGTCGGACTCTTCAATGTCCGAACCACATCACGGCAAAGTTAAATAAACTGAGACATCTGCTGACAAAGCGGGCAAGAGATTGTCAAAAGTTAAGTTACGAATTCCCGGACAGGCTGGATGAGCCAGAATCCAGGTTAAGCTTCGGGAAGAAATGCACTTTTGTTCCGACCCCGAGTGCTGGTGATCATCGGCCATGGACCGACTTGGGCTATTCAGTCAGCCGTAATTGTGGCTTGACACATGTAACGTAATTCCCGGGTGAGTGGGCCAGCCCAAAACACCACGGTAAATGGGATATTTTTCAACTCAATCTCCCAACAACCATTCCTTAATATGAGGTCTTATGATAAGATGGTACTTTTTGGATCATATGTAGCCTATTTATGAGATTTAAAAATTTAATCGGATTTTGTGGTTCAGATACATATATTTGTCGTATCTATAGCTGTATTTTTTGGTAATCCAAGGAAATACTTTTTAATTTATATTTAGGTCTGTTGATACTGTTTATCATGAATTTAGATACTGTCAATACCAAGAATCAAATAAACTTAACCTTGGTTGTTGAAATATCCAGTTGTGTTATAATGCATTTACTATGGTGTTTTGGGCTGACCCGCTCGCTTGGGTGGCCCACTCACCCGGGAATTACGGTTAGTTAAATGCGCTGAGTCAGCGGACTATTCCCGAGTTGGGTTTTTACGCGTCTTTTCATTGGTGATAATCTCCTGTACATGTCGTGGATCACGGAGTGGACCTTTAGGTGTTGCGCTGCGTTGAAGCTACGTACAGGGAATAGCTATCTAACAAATATTTCCATTGCTCGTATTATTTAGGAGGCGTAGGCCTAACTTTTGATAGACTTATCGGCTCGTGCAGCTTCCGGAAATGAGGCGTCTGACATCCTGAAGTATAGACCCGCCACTATATATATCGTGCTATCTCTAGTGCAAGACGCCCGAGTCTGAGATCCCTAAAAACCCTACAGACAACCGGACTTCTTTGAACTCGGCGCTCTGCCACAATTCTTATCGAGTTTTTGTTCTTGTGCTAGTCGACATGTCCGCTGATCGCCACGATGAGGAGCAGTTAGTTGAGGACAATGGATCCCAGCAAAAAGGGACTGCTTATGAACCGGGGATCAGATCTCCCATGAGTCTTATCAGCAAGGATGAGACGGAGAATCTGAGGCGGATTGCCACCCATCGGTCAAACAAGTCGCGCAGACGTTCAAGCGTATACGCTACAGATGGGAATACCACCGACGCTGTTCCCGAAGACCCTGCGTTGGATCCGCAGGGGCCAGAGTTCAACTTGGAAAGGTGGCTGAGAGCCTTTGTGGCAGATGTAGAAGGAAGAGGTCTTTCCAAGCTACAAGCAGGAATATTGTTCAAACACTTGAATGTCTCCGGTTCCGGGGCAGCCCTCCAGCTACAGGACACCGTTGGCTCGATGTTAGCCACGCCACTTCGGATTCCGGAATTGCTTTGCCAGAGACACTCTCCATCTCGATTGATTCTCAAGGAGTTCAATGGTTTGATGAAAAGCGGGGAGTTGTTGCTGGTGCTAGGACGCCCAGGTGCAGGTTGTAGTACCTTCCTCAAGGCGCTCTGCGGCGAGACTCATGGTCTTGATGTTGATCCGACAAGTGTCCTCCATTATAACGGTAATACCTCTTTCGCGGTTTCCCTTGCCGCATACCATTCTGATTGCTAACGAATGTTTCAAGGCATTTCTCATAAGCGTATGATGAAGGAATTCAAAGGCGAAGTGGTCTACAACCAAGAGGTAGGCGGAACCAACATGTACTGGCGGATGAAGTAGGAGCTGATAAAACCTTCCCATCCATAGGTAGATAAACACTTTCCTCATCTCACTGTTGGACAAACCCTCGAGTTTGCAGCAGCCGCCCGAACTCCTTCTCACCGGTTCCGCGACATGAACCGTGATGAATACGCCAAATACGCAGCCCAGGTGATCATGGCGGTCCTCGGCTTGAGTCATACCTACAATACTAAAGTGGGAAATGACTTTGTTCGTGGTGTCTCTGGAGGAGAACGTAAGAGAGTGAGTATCGCGGAAATGGCTCTGGCTGCGACGCCTTTGGCCGCGTGGGATAACTCAACTCGAGGACTAGACTCAGCTACCGCGCTGAAGTTCGTGGAAGCACTTCGGATTATGTCGGACATGGCAGGCACAGCACACGCAGTGGCAATCTACCAAGCCAGTGAAAGTATATACAAGGTCTTTGATAAGGTCACCGTGCTCTACGAAGGACGCCAGATCTTCTTTGGGCCAACGTCCACGGCCAAAGCCTTTTTCGAACGGCAAGGCTGGCAATGCCCTTCTCGACAAACGACAGGCGACTTCTTGACTTCGATCACGAATCCGCAAGAGCGACGACCGCGCCCGGGTATGGAGAATGTAGTTCCCCAGACACCCGAAGACTTTGAGAAATACTGGCTCCAGTCTCAAGAATATCAGCAGCTGCAGGAGGAGATCAAGGAGTTTGAGACATTACACCCTCCAGGTGATGATGAGGCAGCTGCCACTGAATTTCGAAAGAGGAAGCATGATGTGCAATCCAAACACAGCCGCCCGGGGTCTCCATATCTGATCAGTGTACCGATGCAGATCAAGTTGAACACAAGACGGGCATATCAAAGACTGTGGAATGACATCTCCTCCACCATGTCAACGGTTATGGGTAATATGATCATGGCTCTCATCAGCGGCTCGGTCTTTTATGGCTCTCCCAATACTACCGCAGGCTTCGCCTCAAAGGGTGCAACGCTTTTTTTTGCAATCCTCCTCAATGCGTTGACTGCGATGTCAGAAATTAACAGTCTATACTCCCAACGCCCTATTGTCGAGAAGCAGGTGTCCTATGCATTTTATCATCCGGCAACTGAAGCTATTGCAGGCGTCGTCAGCGATATTCCAGTCAAATTTATCCTTGCTGTTGCCTTCAACATTATCCTCTACTTTCTGGCAAACCTTCGCAGAGAGGCATCACAGTTTTTTATCTACTTCCTGATGACCTTTATCACCATGTTCGTCATGAGCGCGGTCTTCCGTACGATGGCGGCAATCACCAAGACAGCCTCTCAGGCGATGGGGCTGGCCGGAGTTTTGATCCTCGCTTTGATTGTCTACACTGGCTACGTCCTTCCGGTCCCATCGATGCACCCTTGGTTTGAATGGATCCATTATCTCAATCCCATATACTACGCCTTCGAGATCCTAGTGGCTAATGAGTTCCATGATCGCGACTTCCCTTGTTCCAGCTTTGTGCCTTCTTACGCAAACCTATCAGGCGACAGCTTCTCCTGTTCAGCTTTTGGTTCTATTGCTGGCCAAACAACAGTAAGTGGGGACCGCTATATCTTGCACAATTACAAGTATAGCTACAGTCATGTATGGCGGAACTTTGGAATATTGATAGCCTTTCTTATTGGCTTCATGATCATCTACTTTGTGGCATCGGAACTCAATTCCTCAACAACCAGTACCGCCGAAGCACTGGTTTTCCGTCGCAACCATGAGCCCGGGTATATGCGTCCTGGACATGTAAAGTCCAATTATGATGAGGAGAATGGCATTGAATTGGGATCTGTCAATATGGTCAGCGAGACAACCTCAGATGATATACTTCTACCGCCTCAGGAAGATATATTCACCTGGCGTGACATCTGTTATGACATTGAAATCAAGGGGGAACCACGACGCCTGTTGGATCATGTATCTGGATGGGTCAAACCTGGCACACTCACGGCGTTGATGGGCGTTAGCGGAGCAGGTAAAACTACCTTGCTTGATGTCCTGGCTCACCGAACGACAATGGGCATCATTACGGGCGACATGTTTGTCAACGGAAAGGGTCCAGATGCAAGCTTCCAAAGGAAGACTGGGTACGTCCAGCAGCAGGACCTTCACCTTGAAACTGCGACTGTGCGGGAGTCTCTGCGTTTCAGTGCCTTATTGCGTCAACCTGCCAGTGTCTCGATCCAGGAGAAATATGATTATGTCGAAGACGTTATTCGCATGTTAAGGATGGAGGATTTCGCGGAAGCTATTGTGGGCGTGCCTGGTGAGGGATTGAACGTCGAACAACGCAAGCTATTGACCATTGGAGTGGAACTGGCTGCAAAGCCTAAGCTTCTCCTCTTCCTCGATGAACCGACGAGGTAGGTCGTCTGGACTCAAATGAATAGCTTGAGCTAACAAAGATTTTCAGTGGTCTCGATTCCCAGAGTTCATGGGCCATCTGTTCGTTCCTGCGAAAGCTGGCCGATAGTGGTCAGGCCATCCTCTGTACCATCCACCAGCCTAGCGCCATTCTCTTTCAGGAATTTGATCAGTTATTGTTCCTTGCAAAAGGAGGCAAAACTGTTTACTTTGGTCCAATCGGCAGCAACTCTCGCACCCTACTCTACTACTTTGAGTCGAACGGGGGACGGAAATGCGGAGAATCAGAGAATCCTGCTGAATACATGATCGAAGTTGTTAATGCTACAATGAATGACAAAAGGCAGCATTGGTTCGATGTCTGGAAGCACAGCCCTGAAAGCCAGGCAGTTCAGGAGGAGATTGATCGGATCCATGAAGAAAGGAAGTTCAAGCAGCAGGAGGATGAGGATCAAGCACCCATGAGCCACTCTGAGTTTGCAATGCCATTCTGGTTCCAATTATACGTCGTGACGCGCCGTGTCTTCCTGCAGTATTGGCGCATGCCGGAATATATCTTCGCCAAATGGGGACTGGCCATCATGGCGGGCCTGTTTATCGGCTTCTCGTTCTTTGATGCCAAACCATCGCTTGCAGGGATGCAGACGGTCATTTTCTCGTTATTCATGATTTGCTCTATCTTTGCCTCTCTTGTGCAACAGGTAAGTCTCAATTACTTGATGTCCCCCATGTCCTGGATACTGACCTTCGCCAGATCATGCCCCTATTCGTTACACAGCGATCTTTATACGAGGTTCGCGAACGTCCTAGCAAAGCCTATTCCTGGAAAGCCTTCCTGATTGCCAATGTGGTGGTGGAAATCCCCTATCAAATCATCATGGGAATCCTTACCTTCGCTTGTTACTATTATGCTGTTGTGGGCGCCGATCAATCGTCCGAACGACAAGGGCTGGTTCTGCTTTTCTGCATTCAATTCTATATCTACGCCAGCACATTCGCTCACATGGTCATTGCAGCACTCCCAGATACCCAAACTGCCAGTGCTATCGTGGTCCTACTTTTCTCAATGTCGCTGACGTTTTGTGGCGTGATGCAAGCTCCATCAGCTCTACCTGGATTCTGGACATTCATGTACCGACTTTCACCCTTTACATACTGGATTGGAGGAATGGCATCAACCCAGGTCCATGGTCGAGAAGTCGTCTGTTCATCTACCGAGCTTGCTGTATTCGACCCTCCAGCAAACCAGACTTGCTACGAGTACATGGTTGAATACATGAAGCTTGCCGGGGGGCAATTGCAGAATCCTGATGCTACATTGGATTGCAGATTCTGCTCATTGACCGTCGCGGACCAATATCTTGCGGGGAGCGAGATTTATTGGTCTGAACGCTGGCGGAACTTTGGTCTGATTTGGGTCTATGTTGTTTTCAATATCTTCATGGCTACGGTTCTTTATTATCTTTTTCGTGTCCGGAAATGGAGCCTTGCTGGTATTAAGGAGCGGTTTTCGAAGAAGTAACCGCCACTACATACTTTCTTGCCTTGCTTTGGGAGTGGGATAACCCCGTTAATGTTTCAGTTCGGAGATGGTTGGTGAAAAGACGCAAAATCGTCTGGTAGATAGCGATGGGGAAAAAACCATTTTGTCCCTTCAAATTGAGTGTTCAAAAATAGAGGACGTGAAATATAGCGAAAATCTTCCGTTCGACAGCAAGAGACTCACTGTAAGCATTGAGATTGATTGGCCAACTGATAATGCAAACCATTCAGATTAACCGCGGCAGCAGGAAGGAGAGTGGAGAAGTGGAAGTGGAGGCCAGTAGAAAACCAACTGATTTTCTCCGTTCAGCACAACGACAAAATAACAGAGGACAGAATCTCCGAGTTAAACACAGGTAGTGGTTGGTGAGGAGACATGAATTCGCTAGCCGACATCGTTGAACGAGGATCAACAGGCAGAGAACGGCAGTCGTGAAGTAACCGTTCATATGGGCTGGAGGACGACATAGCCAGCAGAAACTGAGCATAGTGCTCCGTAGTTACAGTAGTCGGGTCTACAGACTTGCAAACTTAGTGCGGCTTCTCTTCATCACCACCCCATTTCTTTGTGATGGCGAAGGAGGTAGTTGAGGGATTACTGCCACGGCTACTGTTGATTCTCACTTAATCGATAGAAGTCTCTACTACTTAGACCAGATTAAATGAACTGGTCCTGGAGACATAAAGGAGCGCCTAATTGTAAGTTCAACGAAGGTTAGTGGAGAAACGGAGTTGGTGGCATAGCAATTAATATTCAAGTGTTTAAATTTTTACATACGAGGCCACATAGAGTGGTGAGAAGGTGCGAGCTTAAACACCGTCTCTGTAGAAAAGTAGGGTTGATTGAATAAGATTGGCTAAAACCTAAAACCCAGAACGTAGGGCTCATTGCTTCATGGAAGCACAAAACTATACGATCGACAAGGCTAAAGGCTGTGACGAAGGTTACTGTTGATTCCAAACTACGAAGGTGACTTGTTGTCGCAGAAATCCTGCGTGGGGCTTAGTATCGCAGATCCCAAACTGCTGAAGATCTTTCGGTATACCCGTGCCGTAACATGCCCATACCAGCCCCTGAGGCGGCTATGAGACGCTCACAGCTTTTATCTACTGGATAGTTCTTCAATGTCAACTGGCTCCCTCAGTACTGGTCCATACCCATATCCTGCGATTTGATACTATGCTATAATAGAGTTTATTGAGAAAGCTCGGCCTGCTTCAACATGTATCATTTTCGTGTAGTGAAGTGTCATGATTAGGCTGTCTAAGTCTAGTTTCTGTACCCAAATTCCTGTATTGTTTCTTTACGTTGTCTCCAAAATATGGATCAAGCCAGAATTCCCAAACTCCTCAGCGCTGGCACAAACTCGACCAGCTACACGTAGCAAACAAGCGAAGTAACAAGCGCAATCAAACACTATTGTGGCAGTTGAGAGCCCCTACTCTGCTCGCGCCACCCCTTGTCAATGGCACTCTCAGCAGCTCTTCTCGCCATGCGAGAAGAGCTCTTGTATGCTGGGTATATTATACACGCCCATATACCTTAAAGGTGTGGGTATGTTGGTCTGCCGGGAGAGTGCATTACGTGTCATCAAAGGGTTCCGGGAATCTTTGTCTAGCCAAAACTCATGGCCGTCTCTTCCCCGCGGTCTAATATACGCGTTCACTGAGATGATAGAAGGAAGATTTGCATCATACGCGCCTGCAGAGACACAGTGGACGGAGTCGACCTACATTAAAGGATATCTTAGGATAGAATTTGCATGTCTATTTGCAGGTAGCTAAAAATACAAAGGTATCTCACGTCCCTTTCTTAGAGTACATATTAGGCTTGTAACTAGGAAGCAAGCAACTGCGCAGAGGGTCACTCGATGTAGCCTGCTGCTAGTGTCTAGATGGACGTTACTCAAGACCTGAAAAGTGAGGCAACCCTCCACGGCACGGGCAGCGTATAAATATTTATTTCCCTTTCTTTGTTGAGAAGTAAACTGATTGAAGACGGAGATAGGAAATATTAGTCTAAATAACTCGAAATTCTTGTCTTTTCCTTCTTTTCTGGTTTATAATGGTATATTTATAATATTTCCCTTGAGAACGATTTTCTGTGCATAGGCATTGACATGGGCCGCCCATGGGTATGCCTATATATGGTCAGGCTTACCCTGCCTAGAATTAGGGCCCATAGACACCTAATTCTGCCTGAACTGGCCTGATTTGGTCTGAATTTTGTGCATAACTCACTAATTAATTTCTGTTATTTATATATATTTTTGTCCAAACACTTACTACTCTCACCTTTCTCCCTGGCCTGGCCCATAGGCCCATAAAGACTCTGCATTGCATTACCCTTGAATCTGGCAATTTGTAGGAGAACTAGATTATATAAGGAAACAAAGAGAGGATAAACAGAATCTCCGGTCTCCGGTGCAGCATTCGCTCCCACAGTAGATGTGTCGTCTGACTGACGCTGGCCAATCATCTTGGGCGGTAGTATATTCTTTTTGGGACGCGACAGAACCTTAATAAAATCCTGGAAGGGAGTATGAACTCGCAGCGCGGCGAAGTGATAATTCATGATTTCGCGCATTCACTATAGATCTCGAGGTTTTTCTGATGCTATCTTGCTGCTAATATTGTCATCATCTAAAACACGCGGCCAAGTCTCGTGCAAGATGCCGCACTCTGGACGACATTAACTTCCCTATTTCGCTTACATCAGAGATGAGCGGGCCCTCCGGCGAATCGTCGTCTTTACCGAAAAGCGTGGAGGTGGCGGGAACTAGTAATTCAACGCCATGGTTACAAACGGCAAATCGAGTGTTGGTCGCGGTCGGACTAGCGCTGGCCACAAGCTGCCTCTTAATGCGGATACATACTAAGACCGTGATAATGAAGAAATTCTGGTGCGATGATGGTGTGTTATCTCTTTTTCCCCAATCGCCTCAGCTTTTGTGGGCGGGTATTTAACACGAGAGCTCGGGCTAGTATGCATTATCATTGCCTGGGTAAGGCGAGCAGCCACCACCACAGCGAGTTGAAATAACTTATCTGCCCGCATAACAAAGATATTTTCTGTTGGCACCCAAGCACTCACATTGTGTAAGCCTCGCTTTCATTCGTGAAATAATGAAATACACACTAGATATTAGCTAATTCGAATTCCTTTATTAGGGGGCTATTCCCACGGTGCTATCGGACACCATATTGTTGATCTGTCTCCGCCAACTCTAAGAATGTTTCGAAAGGTATTAACACTGTGCTGTGATCGCTCTTGTAGGAAATTATAAAGCTGATTTCGGACCTATAACCGCGCAAAGCTCCTTTTGACAGCAGCGGTTATTTACATTCCGTGCCTCGCGTTCGCAAAAATCGCCTTGCTTATGCTCTACTATAGGCTACTCAGCACTATGCCAGCCTGGACTTACATCATCTACCTCATCGCCGCCATTATTACTGGGTATAGCATCGCAATTGCCTTGGCTCTTATTTTTGCGTGTAGTCCCTTCCAGAAAGGTTGGGACCCAACGATTACCTGGGGTTATTGTATCAATAGACCAGGCGTATATCTCGCAGCAGCCATCGCAAATAATGCTAGTGACGTGGTTCTGATCTTGGTCCCCATTCGGGTGGTCTGGGGACTTCAGATGCGTCTCATTCAGAAATTGGGAGTGATCTTCATGTTTGGTATCGGGTGTCTGTAAGAAACTCTCGTTGGCCTATCTTGGATCGATCTGTGGAACCCTACGGATTACGATACTGATTTGAGACATTTCAAGGACTACCGTCACGAGTATTCTACGATTGGCCACAGTATGGCATTTGGTGACATCGCCGGATATCTCGTACACACTTGCTCTTGCCAGCATATTTATGTAAGTTCTTGAACCCGTTTTTTTTTTTTGGAACAGATAACTGATGAGAAATGAAAATTTTCACAGCAACATTGAAGCCAATTTCGTAATTATATGTGGTTCTCTTCCGTATCTCCGCCAATTTGTTCGCTACTACACATCAAACCCATTTCCTGGCCGCTGGATAATCAGACATATACGGAAGCCCCTTTCCAGCTCCACGCTGGAGAGGAATTGGCAGGACGCACGACCTGAAGCATCTCGTGGACCTAGTAGAGAAGAAGAACTTTGACATTGAGATTAGTATAAGATTGAACACAGCTTCATGCAGAGGAGCAGCGACGGGTTTGAAGACATAGAAATTATCTCAAATACTCAGCCGCCAAATCATTTTGTGCTCTAATCAATATCTATTTACTACCAACTGAATCACCACCATCGTTCATCAGATGATGGCTTGGTCAGGTTCACATAGTCATAGGATGCACGGCGCTCGAGTGTGCCTTCGAGAATTCCTTGCTAAACGGATAATAATTGTAGCCCTCCTATTGCTTCCTGAGATAAAAGGTTGCGCGGTTGTACTTGTTGAGAGGAATGCCATGCTGGATCCGGAAAACCAAGTCCGGACTTGCAATGAAGTGGCGGCCAAAGTGACCCACTGCTTTGTGTTCAGAATGGATTTACGATGATCGCAAAGAAAGGGATAGGAAGTAAACTCACAGTTTTTATTTATTTTCTGTCAGCTGGGATGATTTTGACTTTTGTGAACTCTTCAAATCCACTAAAGAGACGCTCGGCACACGCATTTGCGGTTCGCACCGTTGGTCGCTCATCCTCGGCCAGTCGTCCCGTAGCAGAGCTAATGTACCAGCGAATGAATTCCTTGATCATCTCATGGCTTGGAGCTGAACAACCTGGAGCAGTTTTGTAGGAATTAAATCCATTTTCCGGGTTGGTAGTGAAACTAGGTAATCGTCAGCCTTTTACATGAATGCATGAACTTGTCGCTTCAGATGTTCCTAAACCTACTTCATCCAAAGATCCACATAATCACGGTGTAAATTGTTGGATTTAGGGAGTCTCTTGTCTTTTTCCCGAATTGAGTCTTCCTGCCTATGGGCTCCAGGGACATAGCTATTCTATTCCCGCTGTTGACGGCGGCTCTCATCGCGCTTAGCAAAAACATCTTTCCTGCCCATCGGGAAGTATGATCCCGCATAATTCCAGCTGCTATTATTCCGTACATTCTATGTTCGAGTGATTATGTGGTGAAAATATTTGCCTTGTTTTGCTTGATAAATGTCTAGCAATATAACTAACTGTTCTACGTTTCGCTAGCACACTCCTTATAACCATGGCGTGCGGAGAAGCTGCGGGGTAACTGAAGGCCATGGCTTGCGAGAGAAGGAAGGAATGATATCGTGACTGGATATCTTTCCAGACAACGTAATAAGGACAGAGACCAATTGGAAATAGATCTATGACCGGAATTTAGCCCGTCCCCGAGAATGCTTAATCACGGAGGAACCGCGCTCATGTGACCGGAAATCTGGATGTTTTCCCCGTTTGATCCGTTATCAGCTCTGAACAAGCCCTACGGACCGTTTAGGGTCCGATGAGAACACGGAGACCCCTTCCGTTTGTCCATGTTAAGGCCATATTTCCCTGAAGTAGGGTGGCAAGCTTCCACTGAGCGGTGTTCCGTTGGAGGGGCCCGAAGTTTTAAACTATATAGTCCTCTACGTTTAGTCCACTGAAAAAACATTTCAGGTGTGAATTCAATCAGCTGTTCCAAGTTGAAATCCTTGACTTTAATACTTCACTTGATCTACAGAGCTCTAAACGACTAGATAACGGAAGAAAATGGAATCTTCAGTCAAATGGCTCATTGGTCGCGGAACCCCAAGCAAAGCGGAGGAAGATACACCCGAACGACAGAGTGTTGAATTCCGAGCCCTCCCTTCTTCATGGTATCGTTCACCATCATTGTACGAACTCGAGCGTCGAGCTATTTTCTCCAAAAAGTGGTTGCTTATCACGCACAAAATGCGGTTCTCGAACCCTGGGGACTACTTCCTTTTCCACCAGGCCGGATTCTCCTTCATACTGTGCCTGAACCGCGAAGGAAACCTGAATGGTTTCCATAACGTCTGCCGACATCGCGCATATCCGGTGGTAACAGAAGCTGAGGGAAATGCCAAAATATTCTCCTGCAAATATCATGGCTGGTCATACGGTCTTGATGGAAAATTGGCAAAAGCGCCCAAATTCGACAAAGTGGCTGGTTTTAATAAGGAGCAACATGGGCTTCTCCCAGTGCATGTGCACGTCGACAAATTAGGGTTTGTATGGGTCAACCTTGAAGCAGCTACAACCCCCACTGTGTCTTGGGAAGAGGATTTCGGCGGAGTTGATACGCAAGAGCGATTCGGTCGATTTGACTTCACCAAGTACAAGTTCGACCATACATGGAGTATGCAAGGAGATTACAATTGGAAGGCTCTGGCAGATAACTACAATGAGTGCTACCATTGCACTGTGGCGCACCCAGACGTTGCAAACGTCGCTGATCTATCACTTTACTCCACGATTCAAAAAGCTGGTCATGTTCAGCATTTCTACACACCTAAGGAAGGAAAGGAAGATTCGGATATCCAAAATTGCAGTACTTTTTATTTCCCAAACTCCTGCATGACGGTCTCGTGAGTCTCACTTCCATACGAAGAAAGAGCTACCGCTTACACTGCAGTCAGGCCACATTTTTTCTACTTCATGCGCTGTGTGCCTACTTCCGCAAGCTCGTGCTCAATGGAATATGAAGTATACAGGCATGTAAATGCAACAGACGACGAATTTGAGTACGTTGATAGCTTTTTCAAGCGCGTGCTGAAAGAAGACAAGGACCTATGCGAGGGAGCTCAACGAAACCTCAATGCCGGTGTTTTCGTCAATGGGCAGTTACATCCAGAGCTCGAAAGTGGGCCGCTTTACCTTCAAAGGTTAGTACGGAACCTGTTGGTGGGCCATCAGGCGAGAGAAAAACAGGAAAAGCGGGAAATATGGCCCGCAAGCCCCGATGTGACCGGATTTGGTGCTACTGAAGAGGACGTTGCTTTCTGTTCTGGTCTTGCATGCGGGGAAGAGAGTCGCACAGCTTTGGAGTGGTGAACTTTTAGTATTTCTGTGAAATTAGTCATTCATCTATGTAAATCCAGCGATTATGTATGAGGTGAAGGCCACTAGACATCGTGAACGGGAGACGACCCTATGAGCTTTATCTCAGACATTAGGCTGTTTGGAGATGCGAGACAGACTCGGTAATGAGCATTAAGATGTAGAGTTGATGATGATATCTAGAGTTTCAGACAGAAGGCAACATCTAGGCGTGGTGGAGACGCTAGACTCCTCACAGCCTACCTCTCATCAGACTCAACCATAGCACTCACTCAGCATTCACTCTACACTAGAGCCTACATATAGAAAAAGAGCACTTCTATTCCCCATCTGTACATTGGCGCGTTCATGCGTATAGTCATAGCAATTATCAATGAAAAGGCAGAGAAGTCAATCGATGCCTTTTGCTATGATATGAAAAGGCTGCCGAGGCTTTGTAGGAAGACTACATTTAGTAGTAAATATAGTACTATTGCACTTTCCGTTAATAAGCAGGGTATCCAAGTTAGGATAAACGGTAACATACATTAAGAAAGTTTCTCTTTACTTTTGCAACATTCTCTAATATCACAAGGAATCTCGCGTGCAAAGATCAGTCTAGAAAGACTGCCCATAGATGGCTAACGAGCAAAAACGCACAAATTAAGTAAGAGACCATTCTATTTACAATCTTTCCAATTTTGGGTCATAGCACATGGTTTAGATTAATGTATTTGGCCATGATAAGCAGAATCTGCTTCAACGGACAGGCTAGTCACCACTTCGTGAGAGGCACTTCTTGACTGCGAAGAGAAGAACATAATGTCGATTTTGAAATTGAAATAGACTATCGTTTCTTTTTAGCCAAAGATGGCTTATTGATCTAGTGGGTTGCAGCTTCTTTGACCAGTGACTCTAGTTTTTGAGGCGTGGCACCGATCAGATGGTCGATCTGCTGTCCGTCTTTGAATGCCATAAAAATCGGCATAGCTTTAATTCCAACTTCCTCGGCGATTTCCTGCTCCTCATCAACGTCCACCTTGTAGAATTTCGGGCCTCGAACTTCCTCCGACAGCTTTTCGAAAATAGGTGAGATCACTCTGCAAGGCCCGCACCAAGTTGCCCAAAAGTCGATGATGACAACGTCCCCGCTATTGATAACTTCGTCAAATTTCGCTCTCCTAGGACAATCTTAGATTCTGCAAATTCTAAATAGCTCAAGTTTACACGTACGTACCCGCTCAATGGAGTGACAACCATCGTGTAATTCAAAAAAGAGCTTGGTGATCGTCGGGAGGGATGTGGAGATGCGGTGCTGTGATGCACTGATATGTACTTGGGTTCGTGGAAGGTGGTAATTCGGTGGGTTAAATACTCGCAGCTGAAAAACCTAATCGAAGAATGACGTTAGTAGATACTGAAGATCAGCTACAAGCCAAGTGAACATGCCCTTTTGAAGATGTCTGATAGCCAATCAGAGACCATGAGTCTGCACCAGAGACCGATCTTCCACATCGCCAAGCAAGTCTTCATAGCAAGCAAAAAAGCGGTGTGACGATTTTCAGCTTCTCGGTTGGGATTTGTGGTAAGGTGGGAAGGGACACCCGCTGGGCTTCTCCTGTTCGGTCTGCCTGCATGGAAAAATCCAAGACTTTGTGATTCATCTTCCGACTTCTAGTATTGGTTTTCAAATCAAGTGAAATTACATCACTAGTTGCCAGCCTATAGAGATCTGCATTGACAAATTGCAAGCGGATCAGCCTACATGAAGATGACTGAAACCTACATATATCCAGCTCAGCCACCCCATGGATCGGGTTTGGGTCATTCTCTCGTTAAGCTTCTCTGAAAAATATGTTTTAGGTATCTCGTCAGTGAGGAGGCCGACGGAGACATTGGCCTCAGGATCGGTAGCAGCATCAGGTACCAACAAGAAAACCCGCGTCGTTAGGGCGTGACCAGTAACGCGATCGAGACACGGTATCATGTGGTTTGCTCCCCTCATCGGAGGTAGAATCGTCCTCTTCTACGAGACGATGGCTCTCTATTCGTGCTAATTTGCGGAATTCATCTAGTCTGGCGCAATCAGTAAGGATTTATGGAGCAAATGCGACGTGGCTGTAAGATTTGGGAAGGCGAATTCGCTTGGATCTCAGACCACCGCGCAGCGAGTAGAGATAGCCAAGTTGGGGGTAAGCCATGCGGCAAGTTGATAAGAGAAACGTCATGTAGTGTCTTATGTCTGCTGAAATCACCAGCGCTTGAATTAATGCCACCGTTGGCTATGAAAGCTGTGCGGAAACTAAGCTGGAGCGGCCCATGTCAAACAGCACGTCCAATTAGGCTACCCATAGGACGTTTTTTTGCCAGTATGTGCTAAAAGCGAAGAACACAACTTATCCTAGTGATCCAGGTGTTCTTGGAGCCTAGTAATAAGGTGCGAACTCTAACTTCAGTCTAGACCACCCCGCTACCGTGCGTCGCCTGCTAATGACGTAGGCGAGCCATGATCATAGTTCACCGCGCCGAATAGTATAAGAGAGACGATATTTCCCCGGCGCTCTTGCTGATTCGTATACTATATCCTTTAGCATTAATTCCATTAATGTCCTAAATATCTACAATGTCTGCCGAAACTTCAGAGGGTTCCCCTTGTTGGGTGGAGATCCCTGCAATTGATCCTACGAGATTGAAGGTCAGCTCTCGATGTTCTAGCATCTCCAATGACTCTTTTTCATATTTCTTTATATTTCCTGTCTTGAATACCAGCAAGTCACTGTATACCGCTGACTATCATACCTGGGAAGGATTTTTATAGTGTTATTTTTCCTTCGTGGGAATGGAGAGAGACTGATAGCAAGTCGAGCGATCACAAAAGAACAGTGCAACACTATAGTTTTGCCGAACCAAAGGGTGAGTCAACCATTGATGCATTATCTGTGGATGTCTCTTATCTTCCATCTAGGATTCGGGGGAGGAATAGTCCAAATGCCGGAAGGATGCGTTGCTACAGAGCAGATTATGGGTAGTGGAATGACCGTATACTACATGGTTGATTCCCTTGAGACGGTTAGTCTTATATCAAAAACAATCCAGGCCACTGCTATTGATTTAAGAATCAAGAGGACTAATTGTCGCAGATAGAGAAGAGAATCCACGATTCCGGTGGTAGCACCTGTCTTGGAAAGACAGATGAGAGCTCCCATGGGTCGTTCATGAATTTCCGTGATCCTGAAGGGAACCGATTTGGTTGCTATGAGATGAGTCGAAGCTAAAGAGTCTTTTATTTTCGTACCTGTTTACCTTTTAGCTATCGAGTATCTCGTGAGCCTTAATCTTGTTACTTATACGCCTAAATGTATGTCACTTGCGTGTGCTGCCACGAAGACGAAGCATTCACGAGACGAGCCAATGCAACTCGACTGAATCGGTCTCATGTCCGATAGAATAAGTGGAATGTTAGGGCAGACATGATCAAAATACCTCTATTATTGATGCTAGTTTATCGTTTTATAATACTCCGTTCCCGCGTTTTGTACGGATAGCATTGACGTGTGAGAGGATATTCCTTATAGTATCTTTTAATTTCCTCATGCTATAAGTATGGGTATATGCTAGATATGATGGAAATGATCGGCTCGTCTTCCTTTCGGGAAGTTTGTTTCGTCTCTCGTTCTGAGACTTCTTCGGCGAGCAATAATACCTGTGCTTGAGGAGTTAGGGTGGGAGTTGGCTCTTGCCTAGGGTTGGGTTTAGGCTATACTATGCGCGCGCATTTGTAACTATACCTTGTATATAACTAATATATTTGCATAGCCCAGTTAGAACTGCTCTATAGGCTATTATTCTATGTCGTCTTTCTCCACTTTCAGTGATTTCAAGACACTATACTAGCCTCAGGTCATAATGGACAGCAGCTGCCTTCCATAATATGCATCACTATTCAATATCACTGGCTAGAGCACCTCCTGGAAGGAACGCCTGTACGGCAACATTCCCTTTGTGATATAGCCTTAGGTACCAGCAAATAGAAGGACATTCCACTCTCGCTCTAAGTTCAATCCACCATATGCTGCGACTTGCCTTGCGGTACCATAGATACAGCAACAAAAGGGCTACAGGGTCTTTTTTCCGGAGCAAGTCTTCGAAAGGACCATTGATGCTGCGCATAAAGTGTTGAATTTGACCTGTTGTGACCTCGCTATCCGGGAGGTCCAGGATCTGGGATACCGCGTGGGCGGCATAGAAATACGGATTGTTTTTCGCCGTAGATGAGACCTTGAGAAGACATATGGTAGCCAAGGCCCTTGGTATACCGTCTATTCCCCTCTCTGGCAAGGGTGAATTCATATGAGCAAAGGTTGCCGCCATGACGCGGAAAAGACTGTCCGGGCGTAGTGGGTTCACTATGTGCCAGAGTGACATTTTACCATTGCTCATACGTAACCAGTCCAAATCGGAGTGGTCAGACGACTTTAAAGGCCACGACTCTTCCGGAGTGCATGCGTCAGGGGACGAGAAGGTCAAGATAGTTAGAGCAGCCGCAGTGCCCCAGATTGGATCCTTATCTTTCGCTTCAATCGGTTCCCTTAACCTCCTGTTGAGAAGAGCTGTGCTTTGAGACCAGTGATAACACTCTTCTATACTGCGACGGCAGCCTAATGAGCCATTCAGATGGCGATCATATGTGAGTGCCACAGCTAGAGAGGCGTGCATTAGAAAAGGGTACTGTAAGTCATATGTTAGCCGAGCTCAGGCCCATAACGTATATTTCCGCTTAGGTTCTGTCTCATATTGACGGAATAAATATAATAATACTTACCGCGAAGGCCAGTCTCAGGAGCTTGCGATTAACGTATACCATATTAGGGTCATCTGGGGTAATGAGACCTCGTCCAAGATACCGGGTGATGAAATCTTGACACTTTGCGTTCAATTGATAGGATGTGGATTCGTCAGACGTCCAGACAGCACTGGATACAGGGGGCTGAAGCTCTGTTTTCCCTCGAAATACCAATAGCCTCTCTCTATCAGCGGCGACGGGTTGTAGGTCGGGAATACTAGGCATGAAGTTGCATAATACACCGAATGAACTACATCTCTTGCAATGTGGTTTGGCTTCGTCACACTAGGAAGCCAAGGGAATTCGTTCAGCAGAGCACCAGTCTAGGAAAGCCGAGAGCCACCCACCTTGAGTTTTCTGAGCTTGCAATTTCGGCAGCCAAATCTCGACCTCCGCAGAGTCCTACGCTCCCGAACCTCTCTTGGATGAGTCGAGGCCATACTAGGCTAATTGTTCAATGCTTTGCGCAGCCTGCCTGAGAGGGTTTTTCCCGAGCTCGAAATGGATTCAATGCCGAAGAGATGCGTGGCAGGTGGAGGCGGTCATGGTCACTCGATGAACACTAGTTTCACGCACCCCTACGCTAACCTCCTTTCGGAAATACGCATTCCACGCTAGCTACTCTTCGGATGTAGAGGTCTCTGATTGGATGCGAGTTCTGCCCTAACGCTCCCGCCATCTATAATCGACAAAAGGTCGCATCGGACGGGCCGTCATTACATCAGATAGTAAGTAGTTTGAATTGATAGCTTAATTATTTAAGAAGCAGAATATTCCCTCAATATTCTAGGCAGAGAGGTCAATGTCTATGGCATCAGAATCATGAAACCTTGAGTTAAATAACAGGCTTTGTTCACGTATGATCCTCCACCTCGAAAACCTCTTCTTACACAAAAATTCCAAATGGCCACCCACCTCGCCGCCATCTCCCCAGCCAAAGGCCAACCCTTTGAGCTCCAAACCCGCCCTAGCCCGAAGCCAGGTCCAGATGAGCTCCTCATCGCTGTGAAATCCGTTGCCCTCAATCCGGCAGACGCCATCATGCGTGACCAAGGCCTCTTCATACCCACGTACCCCACTGTCATTGGCTTCGATTTTTCGGGTTTGGTCCTCGAGATTGGCGACAACGTCCCCACGGGTGCTACCGACAATGATCCGGCCCCCTCGTTCCAACCGGGTATCACCCGCGTTGCGGCCTACGCCGCCTCTGTCTGGAAGTCCTGCGATCCAGACTACGGCCCGTTTCAGGAGCGATGCCTTGTTCCCTGGCAGCATGCTGTGCCAATTCCGAACGATAGCATGTCTTGGAACCACGCTGCAACCTTGCCCGTCGCCGTCGAGGTACCCCTTAACGCGTGGGATATAATGGGGATACCCCGGGTGGGAGAAGCCACTGCTTCTGGTCCAGTCTCTCCTCGCTCTACCGGTACCGATACCAACGAAGGAAAGCAGAATAATAACGTGGAAAAAAAAGAAGCACTCCTAATCTGGGGTGCCTCCTCTAGCGTCGGCACCATGGGCGTACAAACAGCCCGGCTGCTGCGGGAAGATCCCAACTCTTCATTCGCAGCCGTGTACGCCACAGCCGGATCGGCAAATAAGAGTTACGTGGAGGCACTGGGCGCGGACCGCGTGTTCGACTACAAAGACTCACAAGTTGTGGATACGATCGTTTCGGCGGCCAAGGAGGACGGGCTAGTGATTCGACATTGTTTTCTTGCCACCGGGCAGCTGGCGTCATGTCAGGCTGTACTTAAGACATTCCTCGGAGAAGATCAAGAAGGGAAGAAGATGAAGACGGCGAAAATCGGTTCGGCACCCCTGGTTCCTCCGGATGCGCAGGTCGTGAACGGGGTGGAAACGATATTCGTGGTCCCGTCGACGGTGGAAGGGGACCGGCTGGAGCATTTCCGATACTGGATTGGGACGTGGCTGAGGGAGAACCTGGCCAAGGGGACCATTAGGCCGAGCCCGGAGCCGAGAGTCGTAGGAAAGGGTTTGGGGGCCATCAATGCTGGGTTGGACAAACTGCTCCGGGGTGTGAGTTGTACGAAGTTGATTGTTGAGGTTGCGGAGTGAGAGCGCGCCTGGGCCATTGAGCGGGGTACAAAATAGTGGCTTAGAAAGACAACGCATAGAAGCAGGCAGCTAGTTGAAGAACGCTTGTACTTGTCGCTTTTTGGTTCGTAGGTTCCTGCGGAGTATGCGTGGCTGAGAGTACGTAACCTAGTAAAGCTGGGGGTGTCCCTTCAACTCCCCGAAATTAGACGTATGGGTACACCTTTCGACAAGTCGTATGCTGATGATAGCCGACTGCTCTATTTGGTCTAAATGTGGCGGGTATCTCGACGAGGCTATTCAGGTAAACACCATCGTCTGGTTTTGCCATGTCTTGTGTAGCTAGCGATGACTACATACTCCGCAGGCTAAATGAAAAGTATGAATAGAGTATATAGTGACCTGTGCATAATAAAGTGTAGTAGTCAGCTACGCCACCGATTTAAAGGTAACTATTACAAATAGCAAACCTAGCTAAGACCACCTTCACGCAGTAAACCTTGAGACTAGTTCTAACTTGGAAGCTGCCGAAGCTAATGGGGTATAGGCAGCACGAGATCATCTGCAGAGTATGCAAGATATACATGCATATGATGCGCCAGGTTGCACAACTTTGCCCCAGGTCACACTACATCTACTGCGCAGGAGATGGCCTTGGGATGTACCTGGTGTATCTGATCTCGAACATGTAAATTGTCAATTACGGCAGAGCGTTGTAGTTATCCACCAACCATGCACGAGTGTCTATAGTGGTACAACATCATTGCACTCAATAGTAATCCTGCGGGATAAACATTGTGTAACCATCTCTCTTGCAGATCCAGGTCAAATTCTACGGTGAGTATATTTCGACCAATGAGGGTTCCATTCTCGACCCAAATCTTCCCCTTTGGCCCATATCCCTTACCAAGTACAGAAGTACAATAGGAGAAAGAAAGGATATAAATAAGATGGTATGGTCCCGACAGAGGAAGAAGCGACCAGCAGTGCGAAACAGATCACCCGCCCTTTCACTCACCACTTGCGAAACACATCTTTGCTTATACTTTCTTATTGAGTTCACCATGCCCTACATCGCCCGGGTTAATGAGCTCCCCGAGATAGCTGTCAGAGGTGGGCTCGTTGACCCTCGGGCTGATCACCAGCATTCTTTCAACAAACGGATCTCTTGTCGGGATGTGACCGACTTCATTTCCAACACAGCGGAGGTCTCGCCTTTGGAATTACGAGACAAAAAGGCTGCTGCTAGGCACATGAGCGATTCTCGAGCCAGGCTCTACAAGATCCTCGCCCGTACGAATGAGCTCAGCCGACCTTTGGCAGTCAAGTGTTCGGATCAGCCCATCTCCGACCTACTGCCAGGGCTGGTCGTTACGGGTGGTCTCAGTCGCTCGCCTGCTTTCGATTGCCTGCCTGTCGTCTCCCATTGGGGTGACCGTACCGACGAGTATTCAGCAGAGGACCCTGCCGCCACCGTCCGTCTTTCTTCAACGTGGAATACCATCCATGTGCGCGGAGAAGGTGCTACTAGGGAGTCCCCTCATGGAGCTCCCTGCTGGTCGTTAAAGACTCATGGCATCGGTCCGGTGGAGCCTGGGTCGGGTAAATTCTCTCAGCAATACCTTGCTGAAACCGATACGCTGACGACGACGGTTAACTTGGTGCGTCGCCCCGACACCGTTCAGACCCGAGGAGTACTTAGCGCCGCCGCAAGTGTCTCTTGGATGCGCAACACGCGTGTTGCAGACGCCGTCGATTGTGCAATTGGGCTGCTGGCCGACGCCGCCATTCTCTTGGAAGCCCGTGATAAGGTGATCACGACTAAAAGGACAGAGCGTCTGGACTTTGCAGAGGTGCGCGAGGTCGTGATGCCCACGTGGTGCTCTGCCCGCAAGCCCCTGGCTCCGAAGCTGAGCGGCGTGGCGGATTCGCCAGACAAAGTTACTGACGAGCTCTTCGCAACAGAGGCGTGTGAAGGTCCTCTAATCAACACTAGCATTTTCTCCATGTCGATGGGCTATAACCGCGGCGTCTATGGTGGATCAATTTCTGGCTTGTGGGCTATCATGGACTCGGCTTTTGTCCTTGATTACTCTGTCGGCACTGATAGCTCTGCGATGGCGGACAGACTCTCTTTTGCTTTCGCGGAGGTGACTGCCTCTGCTGAAGCATCCGCCTTCGCTGGCCCGCATATCGACGATGTCCGAATCGTCAAGGGCTGCAATTATGGATGCCTACGCCAGAAGACCATCATCGAGGACGCCGACCCTGTCGAATCCAGCCCGTGCATGGTTGTATGGAACGATCTTGACCGACTTGCCCGTTACAAGCTCGCTGACGCCGTTTTCTGCCACGTCTATTATGATTCGGGTGGCGGCGAGCAGATGGCTGCTATTGCCGGCCTTGGGTGCGTTGCGCACGACTGGATCGATCTCGGGCCTGATATTATGTGCGGAGAAGTTAGTAACATCATCCCTTCTTTGACACGGGGTTCTTTGGATGAGGAGCCACTGGCAGAGGTTTACTCGCGCTTGATTGGCGCTATGATCTGGTACCGGAACAACGACCCTTACAACCCGGCAGCCCTCTGCCTTCTCTTCACACACTGGTGGCAGCTTTCCAACTGCCGACACAGGCCCGTCACCCTCCTTGGCCGGACGGACCTTGGTGTGGACGCTGCCATCGCCCCCACAATGCCAGAAGGAAGACCCGAACTGGAGCACTTCCGAGCGAGCGGTACTAGGATCGAGCGCGGTGAGGGTCCTCTCTCCAGCGCGGAGGCGCGGCTCCAAAATCTCCTTTCCTCTGGCATCTTGCCGGAAACCCGTGCCGTCATTGACCACCTGGTGAATCCTGTTCTCGCTTACATGAAAGGGGCTGATACTCTACCCTCTGAGAGTGAATACGTCGGGACCGTTCTCGCTGCCGAACTAGCTTACCCCCATGGACAGAAGATCATGGAGTTATGGGACCTTGCCATCGTCATGTGGGAGTGTGGAGCAATGTGGGCGGCTGGAGTGGCAGGTCTTTGCTACACTCACATCGGAAAGGCTAACTGTGACCGGGCTCGCCATGACTTGGCTGACCATACCTGGAGTTAAACGCCCCGCTGTGTATTAGTGGCATGTGGGGATTATAGGTTCAATACAGGCATCAGAGTCATCATGGATCCCTTAAGTGTTAGTGCTACGCTTGACAGCGACACCAAACCAATAGAGTGGTGACTTATAGGTGGAACAAAGCATTTCTTTCTGAATTGAAAACTCAGAATAGCGTCTGGGATATCTGAAACGGAGTATCGCAGAAAATCAAATGAAATGTAATACTCAGCCGTGGTTGTCAAACAGGCCATCATCAATGTCAACGGATAGTCTAAGCTCCATGTTGACCAGTGATGCGCACCGGTACAGTAATGGGTACTGTAATCTCCTCCAGCGGCGATTTGTGCTTCTATACTGACTGCGTTGAGTAGTCAAGAAGACGCGGTTCAAATCCTAGCGTTTCAATTTTAGAATTCCGGCCTCGCAATAGGACCTATAGTATAAGGTTTACGGTTTACAGCCTGAAGCAAATATTTTGCGACCTGGAAGCATTTATAGTTGCGACAAGATAAAGCACTGCTAGAGGAGGGTGATCATTGAGACATAAGTTTCTCCAGAGCTGGGCCTACTGGGGAACTTGTTCAGAAATCAAATGCAAACAGAACCTGGGACATCCAAATCATATACCTCGCTGATTGTTCTACTATGTACAAAAATTAGAAAAGCTTTGAGCTGGGCGAGGAGACCAAAAAAGTACCTGATGTAAGCGGTGGTGTTTTACGTCCGGCGGAGTGTAGGCGAAGACTACGATCCTGTGATCTCCCTTGGGGTACAGAGTTGCAGCACGCTAAAAAGTCATGTACACGGAGTGCTTCTTCTTTACGTGATGACTCGAAAATGAACGATGGTGCGCTTTCCAGCCGAGAGCGCCGGCATTCCAGCCGACGCGCCGGTAATTTGAAGACACCAGAGATAGGCAAGAGCGACCACCTTTGGAGGTGACTTCTTACCGGATGTGTGAAACCCTCCGACTGGCCTTCTCAAGACACTGCGCACTTGAGAATCAGTACCGTATATACAAGCCACTCAATATACTATTCCTTCGAATACCTGCACTGTCTATACCAACCATGCCTCCTTGGACGCCACGCACGCCTGCTAGCAAACTTCCCAGGAACATGTCAGAGTGGCGCAAATTGGCGCAGTCCAAGGGTTTGGAGCATTCGTCTATCAGACACGCGCGCCAGCTCAACTCCGCCTCAAAACTGCGAATCGAGGACTACATCCGGATGAGAGTCATCTGGCCTCGCAGGAAGCAGGCCAGGAACTTCCCCAGATTGATTAACTCAAACAAGGTCAAAGAGATCCTGTCGGGTTATAAAGAGTTCGCTGCATACCTGAAGGGTATCGGACGCACCCGAACTCATGAGCAACTCATGGAAATGGGCATGTTTCAGTTAGTGAGAGATTCCCAGCTCGAGGTTCAAAATCTCGATAGTACCGCTCCTGAATCAAGCGCTGTTACCTTCACGCATTCGCAAACTGTCACGCAAATACCGCAGTCGGCCCATTCTGACAGTTCTGGACCCGTGGATATGATATTGTCTATCACGACCTCGAATCTCCCCGACCATGATACCGAACTGGAGGACTCTCCAATCGAGCACACGAACGACGAGCAAATCGTGAATGAGGCCATGTTGGAATTCCTCAAAGCCATCACGATGACCATCAAGGGTTGTCTCTGCAAGTGGACCCCCGGCCGTGCACCATTCGAATCTATGAATTTCGGCAAGGACACCATGACTGCGCGTACCGACGGCTTTCTTAGAGCGTTCGATCGGAAACTGATTCCGGATGTCTTCGCAATTGTGGAAGTCAAGTGTCAATCCCGGTCCAGAAATAAACCAAGTGTGTTTTGGCAGGAGTCCGCGGAAATGATGGCCTGGATGGTGCATGCCACGATGGAGGGTAACCGGAAGTGTCGCTCCCCTACCAGGTATGTTGAAACTGATCATGCTGTCAAATCTTTTTTGCTAACGAGTTCGAAAGACGCTTGCTCTTCTCGCAGGATAGAGAGAAAGTCTACCTGACTGTGGGCTCATGCGACCCCGGCTATCTTGACTATCTCCAAAGCGATGGCGCAACGGATGCCAGGGTTACAGGGTTCCTGAAAATGCAAGAATATGGACCCTGGGTTACCAAGAACCGTGTGCACATGCGTCACTTGTCAGAGGTTGTGACAGATCACATGCTCCAAACCTCAGCCATGATCAAAGAGGCTATGGAAGAGGAATCGAATTCGTAAACGCATCCTCGATAGCATGGACGTTTTTGACAGACTCTGCATCTCGAACTGGGCATACATCTATCCAAAGGATGTATTTGCCTAACGTGGAGGGGATCTCGCGCCTTCGCTGTGCTGCGACAGATCCCAGAACTTGCGCCTTTGCTGTGCTGCAAGATCTCGCGCCTTGAGTCGGCTGCAATTGGAACTTGCGCCTTAACTGTGCTGCGATGTAGTTCTTTCCTTACCCGAGCCGTTCACGTATGTGTTTGGTAACCCATCAATGGAAGACAGATGCACGCCTTGACTGAGCAGCGCGTTAGTCGAGCCTTGGGGGTGAACGGAGATATGGACATTGCTCATGGTGTTGCGACATTACCGTCCGGGATATCTGGTTGTTACCATTTATAGTAGGCGGTGGAATGAAGCAATACCAGGACCTCCTTAAGGGCTTCTTCAACCCAATCCAATCTGGGACGCGCTATTCCTATTCTGGTCCTGGCAGCTACGTAAAGCCGATGCGTAGACACCAGAGCTTTTAGTTAATTGTTCCGCGTACTTCGCGTAGCGAGGACCTCTCCTTCACACTTCTTTAACAAACCCCAAGCCTTCTGCAACACCAGTTCTGAACGCGTCTTCTGCAGCACCTTCCAGTTACCATCACAGTCGCCTTATTTGGCCTATTCTCTGCCAGGATGGCTACCGACACAAAAGCTAGTCTTAAGAGCCTACAGCAACAGGTTCGCAGTTGCGAATCCGTTTTCCTTCCTCCCGATGATCTTTTGATTCTTGGGATTCAAGCAACTCAAATCGGCATTGCCGAGGATGGTAGACTGCTGTTTGATCCATGCTTCTTCCAGCCCCACCCAGAAAGAGTTTTGGAGAAGTATCCTCTTGACCCTCTCAATATGGATGAAGATTTCGCGCCGTTGAACCTCCGACCTGACTATGACGCTTTCTTGGAGGAGATCAGCCAGGAAGTTCCAAATACAGATAGGGCCGTCAGACTTGCAACCGAAAGATACAACCTACATAAACAGCTATATGAGGAGGATTGGCTCGCTCAGAGCCATCTAACGTGGCAACACATCGATTCCCATTTAAGTCAGGAGAACAGGAAAGGACTCCCTAAGTCCCTTGCCTTATCTGACCTTTCACCTCCTAGGGCGCTATGGCCGTAAGTGACTAGCGGAGAGTACGAAGATTTTAATAAGAATAGATGCTAAACTTTTCTAGGAGCTCATGTTGCTCACGCGACGAGCATAGAATGATAGAGTCGGAGTGGGAAGTGTTAGAGTTTTGGGAAGATGATGTAGATGATGTCCAGAGCTCTCTGATGCCCCATGCAATTATTTCAGTCCATTCAAATGTCCCCGCAGATGATGCAGAGGCAAGTCTTACTTCATATGAAGTGTCAGCTATTGTGTCTGCTATGATCTGTCGAAAATATTGTGGGCCCTTTCGGAATCACCCTATCCATCCGGTGAGTAATCCATCCTCTAGTCAATTTATCTACTAATTGACAGCAGGTCTTGGTTCTCTCTTACACCGGTAGAAATCACGGAAGAATCATTCAAGCATCTTATGATGGGCAAGACCTGGCTTTGCAGTATTCGCCACTGTGGAGCTTCGAGAACGAGGAGATGGCACCGGTGGAGCTTTTTGTTCGCTACATGATGTGCGAGTCAGTCGGGCTAGAAAACTCGCCCATTATTGGTCCTGTTGCTAGGTTCGATATTAGGTTGAACGTTGACTAGCTGTCTGTCGTGTCTGACACAATATGGCTCCTAGGATGATATCGTGACAGCCTGCGTCTTTGAAAGCTAGTATATCTTTATCTTGCTCATCTTTATTCCAAGTGGACCCTTCTTTTCTTCATCACACTCACAGTTAGTCATTCTTGCTCAGAGACTATTAACTAGCTAGATGACTTAACTGTCATAGCCTATTTATGCTGATTCTCATTGTCGCCTTTTGTAGTCTTGGTTTGAATTCCTTGTTCGCAGAACCTCAAGACTCGTCACCAAGACTCCACGTTGGAGTCAACCCGCATCCTATCAGCCCACGCTGACGCGCTCGGAATTTTCGGACAACTATATAATCTACAGCCCAAGAGAGTCCAGAATTATGACTGACCATAGTAAATAGATCTATGTGCAGCCTTGATAGCCTTCTTCATCTATATCAGTATTTCATCACTCGTACACATACCTTCGTATCCAGGTCACTCTCTCTGCCAGTTTATAGGAATCTCTGCTTAGGTGCCAGCAATCTAATCATCGCTGGCGGCCCTTTGACTATCATTGTGAACACGTTTTTCTTCAAAATCTCCACCGTTCAGCACTCATTGGGGATAGACATTCGCTCTCAAGCACCCTCGTGCTTCTGCAACACACCTTCAGCTACCAAAATATCATCGGACTTTCACCAAACATATCCATCAAAACAACTGGCTTTGCCGAGCCAAGCCTTAACGATCTCGTTTCGACCCTCGTTTCGACCCTCGTTGGCGAGAACAACTACGTTTCGCAGGCCAGCCTCAGGTGGTGACTCAAGGTACGCAATACACAGTTCAAGAAGCTTCTCACAAATAAATAAGTGCATCCTACCTTGATCGACGATCAAGCACCTACTATGGTCAAAATTAATGCATACAATGAGTGAGATACCGTCTCAAGGTTACCATCTGCCACTTCACTACGCTGCGGCCGAGCTGACTCTCCAATTATGCATCAGCTAAGCCAATGACACTTTCAGAGCCTACTAGACACTGAGATGTGCCTTACGTCTTCTCACCATGTACTAGAGAAAAGTACCTTAGATGTGGGGGGTTCTTACCATATGCGAGTGTTCTTGCTGTATGCGAGTGTTGACAAAGTCGCGTAATGTCACTTCGTCCATTCCTTTCCCTTCTCCCTCCTCCAGCGAACAGCACCATGGCCCCTCCTCACACTCTCCCCGTAAGTACTTACAAGCACATCTCTTTTGAGGCTGATCCATCGTGCTATCATCCGCTGTCCCCCTGCTTTTCCTGCCCTCCTTGATCGAGACGGATGTGACGATGCCATCGCCCATTCTCTGCCCTCGTGCGATCGTCCTCTGTCCTTTTCTGTCTACAATTTTCTGTCATTCTTCCTCCTTCCTCTCTGTACTTCTGATGTTTGACTTGGTGCACTTTCCAATCACGGATGATGATTCAGTTACACCACCTGCATCCGCGGTGACATACCCTGCACTTTGCTCACTGTCGGCTTTGTCACCTCTGGTTGTGATATCAGCTCAGCGATGACCGACTAGCTCTGTCCTTTGGCATTTGCGGCTCCAATTCGCCGATCTTCTCATCCGTTATGAGTATATCGGTTGTCTGTGAATGTTCCGCTGAGCTGACATGTATGAAGCCTCCTTGCCAGAACTGCCCCGGCGCCCGCGACCTCCCCGCAAACTGCCCCAGGGTGGTGGAAATGCAGGGGCGTTTGATCGGCCACGCCGCCCGTGCCATCGCCCTGGTGCAGGAGAGCCAGCAGCGTCCGCCCCGCCCCCGTCCCAACCTGTCGCTTTTGCCCGCCGGTGGCCAAGACCACCAAATCAAGAAGCGTCCCCGCGGTTCGCGGGGTCGAGCCAAGAAGAGTGAGTTATCTGAATTCTGCCCTTTGTTTGAATTATCTTGAATGAGTCGAAGCACCACGTTCTTGCTGCAGTGTACTAATACAAGTCGAATAGAGGCCGCCGCCGCCACCACCCAGCAGAAGGGTAAGCTAGACTCTCCATCCAAGGAATCCACGATCCCGATCCCCATCGAAGCCACTTACATGGTTCTATTCGTTACGGTGAAGACTAATGTACTGGATGAAGTTCCTGCCCCGGTGGCCTCCGTTGGGGGCGAATTGTCCCTGGTCCTCGGCCCTGTTGGCGCCGCCGTCCCTGACGGCGAATCTTGTAAGTGAACCCCTTTTGAGCCTAGTCCTTTTCAAGATTCCCTTGTCTCGTGAATCTATGTTCTCTCGCCCTGGGCCTAACACTCTGGACATATCGATACCTCTGGCTCGATAGTGTAGAGTTGGGACTAGTCAGGTCAATATGACCAACACACACTCTCAAATACACTTGGGGAACAAATTGCTGACGGGTAATAAGCAGCCCAAGTTTCGCGCTCGCCCCCTCGCCCACCCCCAGCCACCACCACCGCCGCTGTCGCCACCAGTGCCGAGGAGGCACTCGCCCTAGTGGCGAGAATTCTGGTCATGTTCCCGCAGTTAGCGGGACAAGTTGGGGCTTTGGCCCGTGTAGATTCCCCGGGGGAGGATGACTGGGAGACGGAGGAAGAATAGGGTGGCCCCCTGGAAGAGCCATTTCTACTCTTCTTTAAGACGTATTCTTAAACTTTCCGGCCCGTGTGGCCTGACTGGAATCCGAGATTCGCACTTCGATGCACTATTATTACTAAATATTTCCACTTGTGTCTCCTAAAACTGGTAGATGTAACCTCTACATCGTGCATGTAAATGCTCCATAAGTCAGCCTTGGCATATCATGACCACAACCTGTTCACAAATTGTAAATATACCTTGTATGTAAGTACTAAATTTGCACAGCCAGATAAGTCTGTCTATAGGCTGTTATTTTATGTCCTCTTTCTCCACTTTGGAATGATTTCAAGACAATATAATAGCCTCAAGTCGTAATGGACATTGGCTGCCATTTCATAATATGCATTATTATTCAGCATCACAACTTGCTAGTATTACTAGCACTCTTTGGAATTTCAAACTTGGAAATATCCTCCCCAGTCTGTCCATCCACGGCCAACTCAGCAAGGACCCTCCCAAAAGCCGGTGCGAACTTGAAAGCATGGGCCGCACCCAGTCCAACAATAACATCCTTATGCTTCTCTAGCGGACTAATGACAAACCGTCGATCCGGCGTGATGGAGTATTGACAAGTAATCGTCCTTAGTGTCTGACGTCCGTTATCAGGCATAGTCTTATCCATGAACGAATTTAGCTGCTGAAGCAGCTGCGGTGAATGCACGTATGTTCTCTCTTCGGGCGTCATGAAATTGTTCGATGTGTCGCGGGCCGCCTTGATAGTCGGTTCGCCGAAGCATGGAAATCCGTAGAAACCGGTCTCGCCGCCCCAGATCCACACAGGGAAATTGTCGGATTCGAAGGCTAAGGGGTTCGTTGGCTTGAAGTATGTCACTTGCTCTTGCATCACGGAAAGAGGGATATGAACACCAAGGGGGGCAAGGAGCTTATTTGTCCATGCGTCCGTAGTGAGAACCACTTTGCGTGCACGGAATTTCCCTTTAGACGTCTCGATGACGACTCCCCCGAGGACTGAGGTATTATACGCTCGGCCCGGGTATTTTCTTTAAGGATAGCACCGTGTGATCGAGCAAGATGTTGCATCGCAGAAACCGTCTTATTCGCATGCGCAATCCCCGTATCAGCCGTATAAACTGTCTCCACACTATCTTCAATATCAAACTGCGGCCATCTTCTCTTCACTTCCTGCGCATCAAGAAGTTCGTACGGAACATTGTTCGTGTCCAAACTCGTCGTATAGTCGCCCACCCTCATTGTTGGGATTTTGTCATCTTTAGGGAAGAAAACAACTCCTCCAGTGATACTTAACAATTTCTGGTCGGCGGCATTTTCCAATGCTGCCCAGTCCTTATACGCGGACTTTGCGAGGGCCACATACTCAGGAGCGGGATTTGATGTTCGCACAATGCGTGAGGTATCGTGTGACGCGCCGTGGACATGTCCCAGTTCGAATTGTTCTAGGCCGAGAACTTTAGCGCCCTTAAGTGCAGCGTGGTAGGATGCTGCGCTGCCGAGGACACCGAGTCCGATGACTACTACGTCAAATTGATCCATCTTTGTATCACTGAAAGTTTGCCCGAGGTGATAATTGTCAATTCTACTCATGAGCGGTAAGTATAATCCTGTTATAGTATACTTCATACATGGAGACCAGCCCGCTCATGTGACTCGGAGTAGCAGGCGGCCACATGACCGGGAATCAAAGCCGCCGGGAAAGCCCGTGTTGCAGAGCTGGTAGTGGGACGATCGTAGTGACCGGAATTCACAGAGGCATCTGCGATAACAAGGACACGGCGGGGTCGCCGTCGGCCTCATCCCGAGCCAGATCAATGCTATTCGGGACTTTCAAGCCTATTATCGCATTTTCAGTAACTTGTCGTGTGATCAGGGCGTTGGATCAACTTGCATTTGAATAAAAAGCAGAAGATCAACTTCCCCCAGTAAAAATTCGACAACACATGGCATACGGAAACCCTCGCTGACAACCATAGTTATAAATGCTGCCACTGGAAGTTTGACTATTCCGACGTGAAGCCTCGGGTCAGGGCTTTGAATACAGACTCTCTCTTCAAGAGACCTCTTGGCGTGGACATGCATCTTTACACTGCTGCTCAGAATACCATGAATGCCGGGCTGTTTGTCAATGGTCCACTCTACTCTCTGGAATGGTAACTCCAAATTGTGTACTGTAACCTTTTTCGATAACTATCCTCAGGTAGATTTGCGTCATATATTCCTATTGAATCCTGTCAGTATGATAAGCAAACATCCACCCTTTGCTTTCAATAATGGGAGCGTACAGTGGAAGCTTATCCTGGACAGGTAATACAGCCTTGAAAGACGAAGCTGTTCTATTCCAAGTCTCGTGTACAGTTCTTGTCATGTCAAAACCCAAAGAATCCGCCAAGTTAGGTCATCAGTTCCCGCTTATGGCATGGTTTTCCTGCGTGGGTCAGTAGTGGAACCGTGCTATCGTACCTATGGACGGTTGTAATCCGATGATAGCCCCGCGCTCCTTCGACCCCTAAATGCCTTAACAAAGCAGCAGAGTGTTATTTCTCTCGGTCTCTCTGATGTCGCAGCCATTCCTAATGAACTCCCGTGTAAGCAAGAGATCACATCAGGCCTGTGAAAACTGTAGGTGAGTCGCGGCCTTCAGCACCAGCCATCTGTAAAGCGACTCATGCATTAAATATCTGCAGGCGAAAAAAGACACGATGTCCAGGGGAGCGACCGGCGTGCTCAACTTGCACACGCCTCCGGCAAACATGTCAGTATAACAGAACTTATGACCCTATGGAGAGATCTCATGGGGGCGATCGGGTTTTGGTACGGGCTTCATTGTAACAGATGTGGAGAGAGCGGCTAACTTTTAGCAGGAAGACCGATTGCTGCAACTTGAAGAGAAGATGGAACTGATGCTGGAAGGACCAATGTGCGAGTGGCGTTTCCGGATCATTTGGTGTCGCTGCTAATTATGGCAGATCAAATCGCCAAGTTGACACACCCATGTCGCACTCTCGTCGCATCCAAAGCCGTGAGAATACATTGGAATCAAGTGATAGGCAGGAGATACCTATCATGCCTACAAGGCCGAGTGGTGAGATGTCTATGCAAAGTACAAATACGCGTGCCTTTACAATGCCACCTAAAGAGATCATTACGGAGGGTATTGCCCTTTATTTCCAATACTGCCACAAGCAACCTCTGTGGCTTTTTCACCCAGAAGACCTTGCTGTCCCAGCAAAATGTCGGAGCGAGGTGGTATTCGGCATACTTAGTCTTTCTCTGCGTTACTCAAATAACCCCTTTCTGGAAGGACGAACAGACCAAATGTGCCGGCAATACGCCGAGGCCGCTCGCAGCTATGCCATGTTCCGCATAGCCCAAGGCACCGTGAACCTCTCAACATTACAGAGCTTTTGTCTGATTGCACTGGCAGAATACATCGGTGAGGATTCTCTCACGAAATGATGGTGTCTTGCTGACTTGATCCTAGCCAATGACACTCACCTTGCGAGACTACACATCGGCCTTGCAACAGACCTCGCCAAGTGTGCAGGCATTGACATTGAGCTTCACGAGGGTGAAGTTATCCCTGAATTAGAAGAACGAAGAAGAGTGTTTTGGAGCATCCATCTTCTCAACCAGCAATACGCTCCGCACAACATGCACATAAACATGCTACAAGATATTCATAACCCGAAGTACATGGTTGCTAACACGGACTCTTTACGGGAAATGGGAGCGAAGCCTCCTCAGGTCCCTCAGGAGAACGGTGCCTTTACATCCAGAGGAGGCATATGGATTTACATGGTGCAATTATCGAGTCTTTGGAGTGAAGTACAACATTATGTTTCCCATTGCGCTAGCGGAGATACCACACCACCATGGTCGGTAGACTCCGGCTACTGTATCATTGGGGCTCACCTGATGGACATCGAGACAAACTTTCCTACCACCCATCGATACGATTCAGCAAGGTTTCAGGACCAGTCACCAGAAGAACTGAACAGCGACCGTGGGTACTGGAGTGCCTGGCTGTACCTTCAGTTCACCTACCACGCTGTACACAGTGTCCTTAACCACCCTTTTCTTTACTCTTGGCGACCTCAACAGTCTGCCCAGCTTGCAGTACCAAACACATTCTGGAAGACATCATCGGAGCTTGCGCTTATTCATACGACGTGGACCGTTCGACTCGTTGACATGATTATCGAGAAGGGGTATCAATTGTCTGACCATTTTCTCGGTCATGCGGTGGCGATCGCGGCCACTATTCACATTTATTACTGCCGCGCTGCGGATCCCGCCGTGAGAGAGTCTTCTCAACGGAAGCTTGAGACTTGCACGAGATTTCTGGGGGATCTAGCGCCCAGATGGCCAAGAATACAAGCAATAGTGAGTGTGAATCAAGTGCTTTACGTGATAACCTACTAAAACATCAGTTCAGCATCAAAAAATTCAGACACTCATTCGGTCAGCATTTGCCGTCAGTCCACATACAACAAGTGATGGTCGTCAGCCTCGAAGGACTTTATCAATAGATACGGCATTGATGTGGGATATTCTCTGTCATAAGTCTCCCAAGACTCAATTCGATTCTCCAGGAGAAAGTCTCTTCGATGCATCATTCCTGCGGCCCCTTGGAAAACAGCGCCGAGGACAAATGACAGTCGAAACCGAGGTATTCCACCATTTCGCAACAGCAGTCGACACATCGGATGGAGGCCAAGCGATGCCGCCATGCTCGAGTACATTGCATGGACGAGCCGATGATGAGAATTCGGAAGATGAGCCTTGGAGCCGGCATAACTCGGACCCATTTGACAATAATCCAGAACAAGTGCCGCTGCGTGAGCCATTTGCGTGGTCGGGATCAGGATTTCTAGGCGATGCATCTTTCATGGACATTATGCATGATCCATTTTTCCAGTTTCAGGACCGTGAAAATCCTTATACTGGAGTATGGGAAATTGGCAATCTGTGATTGAGACCACATGGTATCGCTGAGCGCGTTTGATTAGCGATCAATCACGCTTCGCATCTATAGAATAGCCACTGAATATATTATATTAATTCGGAAGATGCGTCAAACAGGAAACAAGGGTTATTGTGCGATTTTTGTCTTTACGCGGCAGAAATAACACATCAGGTTACAGTTGTATCTTTTGCACGAGCGAATTCTCTATACCGCAAAGTAACAACAGGAGAGTTGGAAGGTTCTCGGTCTTGGCAAATGCTTTTATCTTGAACATTTGAAACCCACAGAAGGCTCCGGAAGGCTAGCTGCGTCACGCGGGCGAATTTGCGTGTTGATCCTACGTGCTCTCGGCGATTCGCACTGAGGCCGACCGACGGCGCCGCCCGAGATCCAAACGGAGCGGTTTAAGCGATAAGCGGGGTTCTCTTCTCGGATTCTAAATACGTGCGGGGATGCTGGTTTCGTCCTTCGAGCAGAGGCATCTGTACCAACACGGCCTTACCAGTCAAACGGATATCTTCATGTCGAAGACCTGGTATTCAAAAGTATTTAACTTCACGCTCGTGTCCCAATCAGATGCTCGATATTATTTTTAGTCGCTATAACTGTTGGGACTGTCTGAATTCTCTCCAGAGTATTTCAGATTTAGGGAGTCAGACCTACCAATAAGCAACGTGCAGAGTTGATTGACTGTTCAAGACTAATCGCAGGTCTCCCTGTCTAGCTGGGAGACGTCGTTTAGCCGGTTTCCCGCAGTCCCATAAAGGGATAGTCGATCATGCCATGTGGCACGTAGTTAGGGCTAGCTACTTTGTTCTGCTATGGAAGGGCTTGGCCCCCATAATGCCTCCGAACGCCATCTCTAAAAATATTTTTAGCTGGACCTCGGGGCCAACCTACCTAACTCAGAATGGCCACTTTAACTACTTTTAATCTAGTCACAATATCCACCATCCTGCCAATCCGGGGTAAGTCTTAGAGCGAAGGAACCGAAGGATCAACCCGTTTTCCCCTTTCATCCGCTGTTCAATCGACCTCCGCTGTTCAATCGGCCTGGCAGCCACATTTCGCCCCAACAATTTGGGTTTGTCCCCAGTTACTACTATCATTTGCGACGCCACTATGTCTCCTGCGGTGATCGCTTTGGTCGTCCATTTCACCCGGGCGCCAGACGAGAAATTCTCGCTCTCGCTGTCCGCTCCGCCTCGAGACTACTGCACTCACTTCCAGGCCTCCACGGGGCGCATACATATTCTCGCCAATCACCTAATTGATCCTCACGCAACCCTGGCCCGCCTGCGCCAGGATGCGATCAGTCCGGTGTCTGCCGTAAGTGCCGTTCGCCCAATCATTTTCCTAAAATCCTGCTTGGCCCCCATTACTATGGGGCACTAAACCCCGGCCGGGTAGTCCACTCGTGGGCCTCGTGGGGAGACGATCTGCCCGGGCTGAGGTAATTTGTTCGCAAGGCTTCGAGTCAGGTCTGATGTGTCTGTTGCATCTCTGTTCTTTTCTCATTCTTTGCCCTCTTCAGGTCTTCCCATAAGCATCTTCTTTCTCTCCCTTTTCCTTTCATCTGGCCGGTTCGTGCCTCGGCCCAGTCAGTCTTCCCGTAAACATGTCCCTCAAAGCCGAAGGGCTCTTGGGCGACCCCATTTTCGAAGAAAGAGAGAACATCGCCGACTTCCCGCGCGAACCCTTCGTGCCCCAGCGCACATGGGGCACGGCCGCCGAGCGCGCGAGGCGCAATCTCAACGCCAAACTCTCCAATCCGCTGGCCGGCTTCACGGCCTCGGAGCTGCGTACCCAGGGCCGCAATTTTGCCATCATGCACGAGATGGGCGATACATCGGACATTCGCGCATTTGAGCTGGGTGCTGTGCTCGCGCAAGCGCCGGAACGGTATGCTACTGTCGAGGGGCTGACGGCCCCGGAGAAGGAGATGTTGCGGCGTGAGTTTGCACATCGCTGGTCGCAACCATGGAAGATGTATGCGGTTGTGGCGTTGTGTTCGCTCAGCGCCGCCGTGCAGGGAATGGGTATGTGCCGCACTTATACAACCCAGCACTATAGATTCATTCCAAGAAATTTACTAACCACGACACTCATAAATATAGATGAAACGGTTGTCAACGGCGCCCAAATTTTTTACAAACCCCAATTCGGAATCGCGGACGACGGATCCAGGTCATCATGGCTGGCTGGCTTGGTCAACGCCGCTCCATATCTCTGCTGCGCCGTCCTCGGCTCCTGGCTCACAGTCCCATTCAACCACCACTTCGGCCGTCGAGGAACAATCTTTCTTACATGCTGCTTCTCAGCCATCACCTGTCTGTGGCAAGGCTTCGTCAACACATGGTGGCACATGCTGCTCGCGCGGTTCATGCTCGGTCTTGGTATCGGTCCGAAGTCGAGTACTGTGCCCGTGTACGCAGCAGAGACGGCGCCACCAGCCATTCGTGGTGCCTTGGTCATGCAGTGGCAGGTGTGGACGGCATTCGGGATCTTCCTGGGCTACGCCGCCGACCTGATTTTTATCCAGGTTGCAGATAAAGCCGGCATTGTCGGCTTGAACTGGAGGCTCATGATGGCCTCGGCCATGTTTCCCGCAGTCGTCGTGTGCTGCTTTGTTTTCCTCTGCCCGGAGTCGCCGCGCTGGTATATGGGTCAGAAGCGGTACTATAAGGCTTACGAGTCCATGCGGACCTTGCGCCATCATAAGATCCAGGCTGCTCGTGATCTGTACTACATGCACACATTGCTCGAAGCGGAAAATACCATGAAACTGGGCCAGAACAAGATCGTCGAGATGATCACTGTTCCGCGGAACCGGCGCGCAATGTTAGCGTCGGAGATTGTCATGTTCATGCAGCAGGTGAGTGAGCTATATCCCCCAACCCAGCACCATTCCCAACTAATAACCACCCCTCAGTTCTGCGGCGTCAACGTAATAGCCTACTACTCCTCTGAAATCTTCCTCGAAGCCAAATTCTCCCCGAAGGCTGCCTTCTCCGCCTCACTAGGCTGGGGACTAATAAACTGGCTCTTCGCCCTGCCGGCATTCTACACAATCGATACCTTTGGCCGTCGCAACCTCCTCCTCACAACCTTCCCCCTAATGGCACTGGCTATGTTCTTCACAGGCTTCAGCTTCTACATTCCCGAGACCAGCCACTCCGCTCGAATCGGCTGCATCGCACTGGGAACCTACCTCTTCGGGATCGTCTACTCCCCCGGCGAGGGTCCCGTTCCCTTCACCTACTCCGCAGAGGCATATCCGCTCTACGTGCGGTCTTACGGGATGGCACTCGCAACGGCCACGACATGGTTCTTCAATTTCCTGTTGGGTGTGACGTGGCCCTCGCTGCGTAACGCGTTCACGCCCACGGGTGCCTTCTGCTGGTATGCGGCGTGGAATATTGTCGGATGGTGGTTGATACTTATGTTCCTGCCTGAGACGAAGGGAAAGACGCTTGAGGAGTTGGACCAGGTGTTTTCGGTCTCGACGACGTTCCATGCTAAGTATGGGTTGCGTCAGATTCCATATTTTGTGAACAGGTATTTGCTAAGGAGGAATGTTAAGCCCGAGATTCTGTATGAGAAGGAAGAGACGGTGCCCGTGCAGGATTTGGGGTTTCAGGCTTGATTTTGATGCGGTTGAGGAATTTGTGTTTAATTATAGCAAGGAGTTTGGGCTGGTTTTGGGTTTGGGATTGGCTGTTTGTACAGTGCAGCATATATTCAAGGTTGTATATATTTCCAAAAATGGTTCCATGTGTCTTGGAAATACTTGCGTAGATATGAGCTGAAGCATTTACTGACCCACGATAAGTTTGTTGTTCGCCATATGAGTTCCAATCAATGGCAGGTTCTAAGCATTAGCAGTGGGGCTCGGAATATAGAGAAGAGTGTAGAACGGCCCGTCTTGCACGAGCCTGTATCTCTTTATGAACTAATCATCTATCTGAGATCTATTTAATGATGTATCACTGCAACCTTGTACGAATTAGCAAAGAACACCACAGGTGCAATGCAAGGCAGCAGAAACAAAAGTAACACCAGTCTCAATCAGATAGCAGTTGAACATTGAAATATATATCCTCACGGAAGGATTCAGAACAGGTCTGTGTGAAATCGTGCTTCATCATATAGAGACAACCTCCCCAAAACAAGAAACAAAAAAAAAGACTTACCATGTAGTGTATATCAGGCCGTCCCCGTCAACCGATAAAACTCATCCATACTGCCCTGCCTAGCCTCATGCCTGGCATCCATCTCCAACTTCCCAGACTTTGCCGGATTAAGCTCCTGCTCGCCCACAGCCTGCAGATGATCCATACTATCCACCGAGAGAATGGTAATGGACCACCCCTTCAGCGGGGGATTCTTGCCACCAGGTGAAATAGGCTGCACGGCCTGCGTCAAACGCCAGGGCGGATTAGCAATTGGCTGGGCTGGATTCCGGCACACCATCTCCTCAGGCGGACCATCGGGTCTGATATCCAGCTCCATGACGCCGGTGTTTGACCACACGGGGTGCATGTAATTTCCATCCCCGCCCATCTCCGGCGCCATGTTAAAGGAACGGTCATCGAAGAGGTCGGCTAGACACGCCCATACGACTTGTAGGATGACCCCGTGCGCGACAACAGCGACTACCGCGTCAGTTGCGCTCGTCCGGTCAGCCATCCGGGGCAGGATGTGGTCGCGCAGAAAAGCATTCGCGCGTGCGCACATGGAGGACATTGATTCTTCTGAGGATTGGGAAGATCCTCCATCTGATGAATCCCATGCAGCAGCGCCGCGATTCGTAGACGAGTTAGTCTTGACCTTAGTCCCGAGCAACTGTTCCCGCAGCAACCCCGTCTGAACGGGCTCCATCGCCGGACCGGTTCCGAGCTGCTGCGCGCAGACGATTCTCGCGGTATCGGTCGCGCGATCCAGGTCCGAGGAGAACACGGCTGTGAAGCGGACATCATTGTCGCGGAAATGCCGCGCCAGTAGCTGTGCCTGTGTCCGGCCGAGCTCGGTTAGGCCGGAGTGGTCGGCATCGCCGCTGGCATCATCATCATATGAGTAACTGTCAGGTCAGTGCTGCGTATGTTGTTGGAACATACGCTGTCTGGCCCACGTTGTGATCGCACTCCGCATGTCGAATTAGATATACCTTCATGCTTGTGTTGGTTGGGGATGTGTCTGGTATTAGTTTACCCGAACAGGAACGGAGGAAAGGCGAGTGCCACCAGTGGCTGATGAGGTCGGCATGATTTCACTGGTTCTCGGCCACCAATGGGTAGGGAGGCCAGAGTGGTTAGTTTCTTTGGTTATGTTTTTGTTGTGGAAGAGGAGGAAGAAAACAAAAGAGGAAAAAAGAAAATTTCGGGCTTAAATAATTGTTTGCTGAAGTGGAGCGAGGATGATTTGCACTGTTTGTTTGGGGAAAAAAAGTTGAGCGGGATTATTATTTTTGGTTCTGGAGATTGACTGAAAGAAAGCCTTCTACTACTTCGATATCTATTTCTTGGTGTGTGATCTTTCATCAGCCTCAGCATTGTCACCATGGCCGACACCGTCAACCCCCAAGAATGTGCGTTGCATCATCTCCCACCAGAAAGATAAAATCTAACCAAGTTTCTCTATCCAGCGCCTCGATCGCCGTTTCAGGCTGGCGTCCGAACTGATGGCCGCGCCTTCAACTCCCCCAACTGGCGCATGAAGAGTGTCGAAAGCCCGCAACCGTCGTCGCCCTCGCCGTCGCGCACCAACACCTCCCGCGCAGCCTTCAGCAAGCCCGCTCCGCACGTCCCGCAGGCCATCTCCGAGGGCCGGCGCCTGTATGTAGGCAACATGCCGTACACAGCCAAGGCGGAGGATGTGGAGGCCTTTTTCACTGCCGCGCAGTTCCCGATGTATGCATGGTTTTCTCTTGTCTTGTGTGGTCTTGGGCGTGGTGGTGGCTACTACCCCGAAAGTGAAACCGGAACTAAACTTTTCCCTTGAATAGTGAGCGCATTGACATCGCCCTCGATCCGTTCACCGGTCGGAACCCGTCATACTGCTTCGTCGACCTGGAGAGCAAGGAGCAAGCGGAGAAGGCCATGGCCGAGCTGGATGCGAAGGAGTTGCTCGGTCGTGCGCTGAGAATCAAGCCCGGGGTCGTCCGGTCGTCGGCGGATCAGAATTCGCGCTCACCTTCGACTACCTCTCCCTCTGGCACTGTGGATCGCTGGCGCCGGCAGGAGAACACCAGTTTTGCTAAGATAAACAGCGACTCGAGCCAGCGGGTGTATGTTGGTGGATTGCCGCGTCTCAGCGAGTTGGAGACACTGCAGAGCCAGATCCGGAGCTTCTTTGACGGATATACTGTGTAAGTTCAGGGTCTTTCTTCCTGGAAATACGCGCAAGTGCTCATGATTTGCAGGGAGAATGTCAGCAAGCTATTCACCCCGCACCCGGCGAAGCGATTTGAGCCCGGCGAGCATTACTATCTGTTTGTTGATCTCAGCAGCGTGGACGAAGCCCAGCGGGCGATGGAGGAGCTGAATGGTGCCGAGGGACCCTGGGGAGGACCACTGCGGGTGCAGCGAGCCCGGGGTGGGAATAACAGCAGTAAGGAGAGTGAGGAGTGAAGGATGGGTGACGGAGTTATGACAAAGGAACCAGTCGAATCTTCCCCCCCAGAGAGGCTCAACCACCGACCTAGCTCATAATAGGAGGACCCCTGTCCCTCCGCCCGACTAACTAGCTTCCTAGTATGCTAAACACGGACATAAAAAAAAAGAAGATAGATAGAATAGATCCATGGGTACTCTACCGAATATTTCTTCTCTGTAGTCAATAGTAGGGTGAAACCGGCACCGGGACTTCCCGAGGTCTGGGGGATGACGTTGGCGTCTTCATTCATTCATTCTCTTCACCGCATTTGCTATTTCTTTCTCCATCCACACTCGCCTCGTTCTCTATACCCTAGAACTATCCCTATATTCGTCCTTCCTGGTTCTTTTCATGTTAGATTGAGTGTCTGTCGTGCCGACTCTAGTCGGGATCCCATCCCTCTCTCTCTCTCCCCCCCACCTCCCATTCCTATTCTCCCCAATCATCCAACATCAATCAACACCATGACGACCAGGATGCCCTCAGGCAGTGTCGCCCGGAGCCAGCAGCAGCACAAGGTCTTTGTGGCTAGTGTGAGTAGTTTTTGGTTTTCTTTTGTTCTTGTGTTCTGCCCCTCCCCCGCATTTCGTGCTGTGCAATGCATTGCCATGAATGGAATGCCTCGGCTGTTCTGTGTGCGGCCTCCACCACTTCATGATCAAAAATGGTGATGCCAATTGTTGCTGTGGGAAGGCAATAGTGGTGTGGACATCTCCAATTGTGATGTTTCATCTGCCAATTAACACACCATCTCCCAAAGAATTGGTGTGAGCCGTCAATACTATGGTTCTCCGCCATTGTCTGCTGTGTATACAGCAAGCAACAGCCTCTTCATCATCAACATCCTGGTGCCTTTCATAACTGTGTCTTATATTAGAGTCACAGCCAGCGATGGTCACGCCGAGCCTTCTGGTCAGGTGAAATGGTATTGATTGTCTCGCCGGTGCCTGATCTAAACGCAACGTAGCGGCTTGACGTTGCGCTGGCAGCGAGCATATTATAAGCCTCATCTTCTCTTTCTTTTCGCTCTTCCTCTTTCATCTGCATTTTTCTCACCCTATCTTCCTCTTTCGTGCCTTTGTGCTTCTTGCCATGGTTGTGTTTTACAAAAAGACTGACGCCGCCGGTATCCAGTCCGATGACTCGAAGATCTGTGTGGTGATGGTTGGCTTGCCGGCCCGAGGCAAGAGTCTCATTGCTGGCAAGGGTAAGTGCTTGTTGACGCTCTGCTCCACCCATACTGACAGTCCTCCAGCCATGCGTTACCTGGGCTGGGTGGGAATCCCAGCGCGTGTCTTCAACGTGGGCAGCTATCGCCGTCACAGCACGCCCCAGCCGGCTGCCACCTTCTTCGATCCTCACAACGAAGAAGGCGAGCGCATGCGCCGGGTCGCCGTTGAGGCTGCCATGACGGACATGCTCAGGTGGTTCGAGTCCGGCAAGGGCGTCGTCGCCATCCTGGACGCGACCAACTCTACCAAGGCGCGGCGTGCGTGGATCTATGAGAAGTGCCACCAGGCCAATATCGAGACTCTGTTTGTAGAATCCATCTGCGATGACGAGGACCTGATCATGAACAATATCCTCGAGGTCAAGACGACCTCCCCGGACTACAAGGGCCAGGACCCTGAGGCTTCGGCGCTGGACTTCCGCACTCGCATTCGCAACTACGAGAAGGCTTACGAGACCATCGACGACCACGAGAAGCACTTCACCTACGTCAAGCTCATCAACGTTGGCTCCACTGTAATCATCAACCAGATCAAGGACTACCTCTCCAGCCGCCTAGTGTACTACATTCAGAACCTCCACATCAAGCCCCGCTCGATCTGGCTGTCTCGTGTAAGTTTTATTAATCCGATATATCACGAATCCATACTAACCAAAACCCAGCACGGCGAGTCCGAATTCAACCTGACAGGCCGTATCGGCGGCGACTCCAACATCTCGGAGCGCGGCGAGAGATACGCGAAGGCCCTGCCCTCCCTCCTCCGCAAATCCGGCGTCCCGCCAAACACGAAGATCGTCATCTGGACCTCAACCCTCAAACGCACGATCCAAACCGCCCGCCACCTGAAAGCCGAAACCGGCTACGAGAAGCTGGAATGGAAAGCACTGGACGAGCTAGACTCCGGCCTCTGCGACGGGCTGACCTACGAACAAATCGCCGAGAAGTACCCGGAGGATTTTGCCGCCCGCGATGAGGACAAGTATAACTATCGCTACCGCGGCGGCGAGTCCTACCGCGACGTGGTGATCCGTCTCGAACCCATCATCATGGAGCTGGAACGCTCCGAGAACGTTATCATCGTGACCCACCAGGCTGTGCTGCGCTGCATCTATTCGTATTTCTTGAATGTGCCCCAGGAGAAGAGTCCCTGGATGGAGGTTCCGCTGCACACGCTGATCAAGCTCACCCCCCGCGCTTATGGGACGGACGAGCAGCGCTTCAAGGCTGATATCCCAGCTGTGTCGACTTGGAGGGGGAAGGGATCGTCAGCAAAGCATCAAGATTATCCGAAGGAGGCCGAGGTAAAGGAAGATGGCGAGTCCAAGGAGGAGGGTGGGAAGTAAATGCCCTGCGTGGTGGATTTGGGCTTTGCATGAGTTCTAGGCGTCTAGGTCGGGTGTTTCTCTCTTGCTCCTGGGCGATATGGAATGGAATGGAAATGGACAAACATGGGCATTAGGTCTTTCTGATACCAATACCACTATTCTTGATTTTATTGTTCTTATCTCCGTACGGGTGCTCATTCTCTCTAGCAAGAAAGGTTCATTCGGTTCGTAAGAAGCTTATGATTTATTTCTTTCAATAGGAAGTATCTGCTGGCATCGATGCATCCAACTCCTTGGCCTAAAAGCCCGTTCTGCAACCTCGAATTAATCCTTGCTTATCTCTGTGAGTCAGTCAGCTCCGCATTCCTCTTCCCCCCAACCGTTCCACGAACCCCGAGTAGCGGCAGCAAAAGGGAGGCCGTGATTTATCCAAGCTACAGCATGCATAGAGCATCATCTTCGACCCCGCATGCACATCATTAGTATGCGGGAAGAACCTCAAGGCTCGAATAATATTTGAGCGGGAAGGATTTCAAACGAGGTTTTAGTTGACGTTCTTATAACTGATTTCTCGCTGTCCTTGCAAATTCCGGGACTATTGCTTGGGCCGAATAGCCAGACCGGCCTATCGAACCTCACCCGCAGTTGAGTGCTGCAAGACTAGTTATAATATAACGGCCCGTGCCGTTTCGCTATGGCGATTACTTGGTATGAAGTCTGAGAAATACAGATACAAGAAGAGATTTCATAATCAGCACGAATGAGGTAAATACCTGCTATTTTCACTAGTAAGAGAGGGCGCGGTAGATACTTCAACAATATAGTATGCCCATATTTCATTGCTGGGTGGCTGGACTGGTGCTGACTCAGGCTATATGATGCGCCCCTCCGAGCTAAGCTCCTCCTTCATCCACAACCCAATGCGCCGTGGTTGACCACGGCGGCGTCCACCATGTTATCCGCATTCACCGCGCGGCCGCTTGTCGAGCTGAAACCGCGCGACAAATCCCAAATCACCGCCGTCCTAGCCCACGGCGACCGGCTCCTCGCGGGCCTCAGCAACGGCAGTCTCCGCATCTACCGCCTGAACGACGACCAAAGCACCGACCTCCTCCGCGAAGAAGACAAATTCGCCCGCTATAAGATCGATCAGCTGGCCCTGGTCAAGGAGGCGGAGGTTCTGGTCTCCTTGGCAGGCGGGTATGTCGCTCTGCACGATGCGCAGTCGTATGAGCTGCAGGAGCAACTTGCACAGACCAAGGGCGCGGGGACGTTTGCCATCACCTCGAATGTTGTGACTGATTCCGATGATATTCCTGTTATTATTTCGAGAATGGCGGTCGCGGTTAAGAGGAAGATTATGCTGTGGGTTTGGAGGGATATGGAGCTCGAAACCCATGTCTCGGAGTTGAGTCTTGCGAGTGGGATTAAGACGCTCACTTGGGTTTCGGGGACGAGAATGGTCGTTGGGTTGACCTCGGGCTTTGTGCTGGTTGATGTTGAGTCAGGGGAAGTGACCGAGCTGGCGGGACCTGGGAGTATCGAAGAGCCCGGCCGGTTTACAGGGGTTGGGGCCGCGAGCATGAGCTATATCGGGATAGGAGGCATGGTTCCCAGGCCACTGGCAACAAGGCTCTGTGATGGTGAGATTCTGTTGGCGAAAGATATCCATACGCACTTTATCGATGTGGACGGTCAATCGCTCGGCCGGAGACAGATTCCCTGGAGCCATGCGCCCGCCGAGCTCGGATACTCATATCCCTTCCTTCTCGCCTTGCACGATGCGTCGAAGGGCGTGCTTGAAGTACGCAACCCAGAAACACTGACATTGCTACAATCTATCCCCTTGTCCGCTGCCAAAATCCTACACATCCCGCAACCAAACATCAGTCTCGCGCACGCTGGGAAAGGGTTCCTCGTTGCAAGTGATCGAACCATCTGGCGCATGGAGGCTCTGAGTTACGACACGCAGATTGACTCCCTGATCGAGAATGGGTATCTGGATGAAGCTATCAGTCTCCTAGATATGCTGGAAGATGCGCTGCTTCGGGACAAACCCGGCAGACTGCGTGCTGCGAAGCTGGAGAAGGCGCAGAGCCTTTTTGCGGCGCATAAATACCGCGACGCGTTAGATTTGTTTACGGAGGTTTCGGCGCCGCCGGAGACGGTCATTCGGCTTTATCCGCGTGTGATTGCGGGGGAGCTCTCGGCCGTGGAGAGTGATGGGACTGCTTCTCAGGATGGCTCTGAAGCTGCCGCTGGGGGTGCTCCATATGCGGGTTCTGTGATATCCTTTTTAAGGAAGACAGATGAAAGTAGTGAATCGGGCAGTATCCGGGAGGACAGTAAGTAGCGTTGTATCTCTGTTTGATCAGTGTGATTGACAACTCAACAGAGACCCTCAAATCGGCTGTCCGTGAGCTACAAGGATATCTGGCCGACGTGCGCCGACGCTTCCAGCGCTTCCTCAATCCCGATGGCTCTCTCAAGGACCGGCCCACCCCCGGAGACGAAGCCAGCGATTCCGTCCTTAAGCTGCTTGATTTCCCCGACGATTTTGAGACAGCTATCAACTCCAAAGCCCGGTTAGTCGACACGACTCTGTTCCGTGCACACATGTTCGCCACGCCCTCGCTGGCTGGATCTCTCTTCCGTATTGCCAATTTCTGTGACCCAGCCGTGGTTATGGAGCGTCTTGAGGAAACGGAGCGGTATAACGATCTGATTGATTTTCTCTATGGCAAGAAACTCCACCGTCAAGCCTTGGAGCTCCTCCAGCGTTTTGGCCAGTCAGACTCGGACTCAATCCCTGATGTTCTTCGCGGCCCAACCCGCACAGTGGCCTACCTCCAGAACCTTTCCGGGGATCACGTTGACCTGGTCCTTGAATTTGGGGAGTGGCCCACTCGCACAAATCACGAGCTGGGGATGGAGATATTCCTGGCAGACACCGAAAACGCAGAGACGCTGCCCCGGCACCAGGTTCTGGAGTTTCTGGAGAACATTGATTCTTCTCTTGCCGTGCAATACCTCGAGCATATCATCGAGGAATGGAACGACATGACTCCCGATCTGCACCAGCGCCTCCTGATTTTGTATCTGGACCGACTGAGTGAAGGAGAAGTGCAGAAGAAGTTCCTGGCCATGTTGAGGGATAGTGAACAGTATTCGCCGGCGAAGATGTTAGACCGTCTTGATCGAGACAGTAAGTTGTTTTCCAGTGAGTGGTCACACAATCATCTAACGGCAGTAGATCCGGATCTCTACGAGGCACGAGCCATTGTATTCAGCAAGATGGGCCAACACCGACAGGCGCTGGAGATCTACGTCTTCCAACTGGAAGATCACGAGAAAGCAGAAGAGTATATCATCCTGAATTCTAGTGGCAACCACATACTAATCTGCCTTAGATACTGCAACCGCGTGCATCGCAGCGAACCAGCCGAAGAAGAAATCTACCTCACGCTGCTCTCCCTCTACCTCTCACCACCACACGGCTACAAGCAACAGCATGTCCCCGCGCTCTCCCTCCTCGCAAAGCACGGATCCCGTCTCCCTGCCGACGCAGCCCTCTCCCTCATCCCCGCCACGCTGCCCGTCCAAGAACTCGAGTTCTACTTCAAGGGCCGCATGCGCGCCGTCAACTCGGTCTTCAATGAAGCGCGCATCGTGGCGAATTTGCGCAAGTCCCGCGATATGCAGACGCAGGCGCAGCTCCTTCTTGGTGAGGGTGTTCGTGGCGGTGGCACGCGGGCGCGACATGTTACCATCACCGAGGAGAGGATCTGTGGCGTGTGTCATAAGCGGTTGGGCGGGAGTGTGATCAATGTGTTTCCCGATAATACGGTGGTTCATTTGGGGTGTGCTAATCGTGTTGGTCGGTCGGAGTAGCTCCGTTGTGTTTGTCGTGGTGTCGGGGGGGTTTTTTCTTTGGTCCTCGTCTCACTTTCCTGTCCATTTCTGTTGAGGCCGTCTGGCGACTTTGATACCCATGTATTTAGAATCATGCAGTCCAATCCATGTTCATGCATCATCCTCGACCACCTCCTCGCCGTAGTTCTCTTCCTCTTTCGCTTCTTCCTCGGAAACGACCTGGCCCTGCGCCTTCTTTTCTTCTTCCATGCGCTCTGTCAGGAAGACATTGATCTCGTCTTGGAGTTTGGGGACGAGAGATTGCAGCGCCGCGAGATGGGTTTTCTTAGTGGTTGCCGTGTCGCTTGCGGGGCCGAGGGAGATCGGATGCTGGAAGCTGCGATTCCCCTGGGGGGCCTTGTAGACCGCTTCGAGGTTGAGGGTGGACATTTTGTGGTTTGGGGAAGAAGTGAGTGTCAAAATGCCCGAAGAGAACGAAAGTGGGATGGCCATCGGATCGGCGCGACTCTCCCCCGAATTCTGCCAAGGAACAAACAAACCACGTCCAACCGTCTGTCAGCTTCACTGCCACAACTGACTGCAGGCAGCAGCAGCCAGCCAACCAGCCCAGTCAGCCAGCCATGAACCCTGTTGCCCACAATTCGCCAGGCCGGTCAGCGCGGGCGCCTCAGCAGCACCGCCCCCAGCACCTGCAACTGGCACCGAGACCCTCCGTCAGCGACGATGAGGATGACGACAGCGATGAAGACGAATTGTCCTCCGGCAGCGAGGCCTCGTCCAACGTGACCACCCTCTCTGTTGCGCCTGTTACACCCATCACCGGTCACTCGCAGGGCTACTTCCCTCCCCTTCCGCCACCCTCTGCCACTCCCTCTGCCTCCCCCTCCGCAAACACCTCGCCCGCCCGCGCCCGCATGCCGCAGGAGCGAAGACCCTCGGGGCGCGGGCCTTCCGCTGAGCTGCCGCGCCATCGGCCCAGACACCACTCGCAGGGCTTCTTTGAGCCGTCATTGCCAACAGCCTCAGGGGACCAGGTCCCGCCCGCCGTCGCCGCGTCGCGCATCGCTGCTCAAGCCGCTATGCAGACCCGCAGAGCCCAAAATGGGCTGAAGGACGATGTGCCCTCCCGCCCTGGCAGTGTTTCTCCCCCTCCTGCTATCATGCCAGCACCGCTACGGGTGAACAGTAACCAGACTACTGCAAGCGCCGCAACCACCGCCGCCAACGTCGTGTTCCCGCGGGCCGGGTCGCAGCCGGAGACGGAGAAGAAGACTGAGAAGAGGAAGAAGCTGTTCTCTAAACCGAAACACATCGGCATAACCCGCGATAGGGATTTCTCGAATCGTGGTCTTCCGTCCCCGAACAAGATCAGTGGGTTGTCGAGAATGGTCAGCGCCTCGACGACAAACCTCTCTGACCTGCCGTCCAACAATTCGTCCATGTACAACCTTTCCAACGCCTCTGTGAGCACGGTGGTTCCGGCTGATAAGCCCGACAAGCCGGAGAAGGAAAAGGACAAGGATAAACATAAGCACCATTTCTTATCACGCCAAAAGCTCAAGCTCAAGGATCGCGACGATCACTTCAACCTGCCCTTGTCATCCGCATCGAGCAATTCCCGTCCGGCAGACCCCAATGCGCCGCAGTCTCTCTACTCATTTACTCCGCAATCACCGGCACCGGGGTCTACGACATTCGGCAAGTCCGTCAGTGGTCTGGACCTCTTGCATGGAGGACGGGCACTTCGCGAAAAGAAGAAGGAAGAGAAAGCGCTCGCGGAGACGGAAGAATGGCTCGCCAATTCCAGTGGACTTCCGCCGCCTGGTGTAGTCCCATCATCCGTTGGATCGACGAGTGTGCTGGGCGAGGCGGTTCTGCGAGAAACGCTGCAAGGGTTTGGACTCAACAACATGTCGCCCGAGGACGCGTGGGATTTCTTGAAAGCGAAATTGCTGGTCATTTTCGATGGTGAAGATGTTCGCATTGCAATTGAGGATCTCAATAAGTTGGTTATGGTGCATCTGCAGCGGTGTGTGCAGAAACGGGCGCCGACGGGTATTGTTTGTGATTTGCAAGAACTACTAGAGACTGGGTTTGCGACATTGAACCACAGCTCCTTGGTCGGGGTCCCCGATGAGAAACTGGTGCCGCATATTGTGCAGATCTGGATGTTGGTGTTCGGCACGATCTTGCCCTTCATTCAAGCCGTTTTCCTGCCTTTGGATCTTGAGTTCAAGGGATGTGGCTCAATCATGACCAGCCGCGAAGCCCGTGAGTTCTGGGGTCCACTTCCCGCCGGAGGTACACTGGATGTACGGAATCTTGTCTTGATAGCCTTCCGGGATTGCATCATTCTCAACCGCTATGAAAGTCTCAAAGCAACATTTTCGCGCCTGAGCCTCGATAGCATCAACTCCGGGATCCCCAGCCTCACGGTCACAAACAAGAACGCCGCCGCAGTCGGCCGCCCCGGCACCGCAGCGTCTCTAGAAGTCGGCAGCTTCAACTCGCAATCATCTACCCTCCTAAGCACAGGAGCCGACTCCGACAGTGTGAGCGGCCACAGCGCCGCCCAGCAACACCAACGCCAACCCGGCCCACCAAGCAACGACTCCCGCAGCCGCGCCGCATCCAACACCTCCTCAAACGCCGACCAAGTGATCTTCCCCTCCGTCAAACCCCCAAGACCAGCACTCATGCAACGCGCCTTCTCCGCGGACTCCTCGCACGTGATAACCGAAACAGTCGGCCGCATGCTCCAATGCGTCAGCGTGCTCTCCAGCGTGCAAACCGACGACGACGCCCAAGACAGAGTCGATATCCTCGGCAAAGCCATCAAGCACAACTGGCTCGGCCGCGGCCGGACAGGTCGCGATCGCCGCGGGTTTGTCGGTGCGAAAATCCGTCCCGTTATGATTGGCCGTGGTCCGCCTGCGCTGGAAACGGGACCGGGAACAGGAACGGGTGATAATGACTCTCTGACTACGGCGGGGATTAGCGTCGGTGCGAGCACGAGCTCTACTAGTGATTCTCGAACGAGGGGCGACTCGTCTTCGTCAGAGTGGAGTAATGGGTTGTCTGCCCCTGCTACGACGGGGATGGGTATGAGTGTTAGGAGTGCGGGGAGGAGGGAGTTGAGTGTTCTTTAGGGCATGGGTCTATCTGTTATGTGTATGATTTCAATGACATGGGTGGTTATGGTTCGGATGGTTGGGAAGGAAACTAGGCGTCAAGCATTTGATATGGATATGGATATGGATTATGTATCGTTCACAGCTCGGTGTTATATCTTTTCTTTGAATCGGGAATCTATGACATTCGAATATATATCTGTTTTAGCAACATATAGTGCACACCGGGATTATTATACAGGTAATGTCGTTGTTGCAAGCTTGGAAGTTAAACCAAAGCTCCTAGAATCCAGCACAAATGGCCGAGCAACGGCTAGCCCTAATTGAAAAGCTCGGATATTTCTGTCTGTGAATTAACTCATACTGAGATCCGCATATCTCGGCTCCGTTTCTAGAGTACTGGGACGCCTGGTCCCCCTCGCTCTTAGCCTGAAAGGGCTACTTCGGGTCGGGATGTCCCGGGTCCATAACTCAGGTGATTTCCTAGAGGATTCACCTATTGTCTTTTTGGACTTAGGTCGCGGGAATTATCTTAACTAATAATTTATTTATTTGGACCAGCACCTCCGATTGTGATTTCAGTATGAAAATAATGTTACGGATAGAGCCTAAAGCCTCTATTATATAATTGCCATCCAGCCAATTCAATCCACGTTCTACCATCGCGCCAAGTCAGCCCTACATATGTCGAACGACTCGCTGATCCGTCTCTGCCCCGACGATTCGTTCGGACCCACGGTGGATCTTAAGATCTGTCGCGATGGATTCGATTTCACGCTACTCTTTGAAGAGAGCATATTTGCCATCCTCCCCGCTGCGCTACTGCTATGTGTCGCTCCGCTGCGCGTCTGGTCGATTTGGCGGCGTCCAGACGCTGTGAAATGGTCATTGCTCCGGGTTGTGAAGCTTGTCAGTCGATTGATATTCCTTTCTCGAGGAATTGATTGATTTCATTCCCTAACTCAGCGCTAACTCATAAGAATTATCTTAGATCACCATTGCTGTTCTCTGTCTGCTAAAACTAGCTCTCCTCGTCTTATGGACGACCCCTGTCTACGCCGCGTTCCGCACGCGAGCAACCGTCGCAGCAGCAGCGCTAGATCTAGCAGCCGTCGTCGCGATAGGGCTTCTGTCCCCGCTGGAACACTCAAAATCACTCCGCCCTTCGTCTTTACTAAGTGTCTTCCTCCTCTTCACTACGATTCTGGACATTGCAAGGACGCGAACAGAATGGCTTCTTCCCGGACTGTCTGTTATCCCCACTGTCTCCGTGACTGCGCTGCTTGTCAAGGCCCTGTTGCTGGTCTTGGAGGCCCTTTCCAAAGCAAGTCATACCCAGGTCCCGGATATCCCTGAACGCACGAGTGGTATCTACAGCCGTAGTTTCTTCGCATGGTTGAATCCGTTGATTTATCGTGGCAACCGTGGCAATCTGACTGTTCAGGATTTGTATCCCATTGATGACTATATCTCGGCTGCATCCGTTGATGAACGGGTTCAGAAGCAGTGGGATTCCAGTTCGTTCTTCTCTTCTTTATCTTGTTGGCTGATATCTGTTGCTAAATAAGGAGGCAGGTGCTAAAGATAAAAGCTATTCACTTGCTTGGGCAATTACTAAAGCACTTTGGATGCCTATCACCGCGACTATGATTCCTCGTCTGGTTCTAATTGCATTCAGTATAACCCAGCCATTCTTGATCGAGACTGCGATTGAATTTGTTGATGCTGGAACAAAGCCAGATCGATATGGCTATGGACTGGTTGGAGCTTTTGGGATCACGTATCTTGGAATTGCTGTGTGTCTTTTGCCCTTCAGTGCTGAAGGAACACCTCTGACAGCATTTATTCTAGGTCTCAACGGCATGGTACGAGTATCTCACTGCTCGA